TTTACATCTCTGTTTTGGAACAACTTATGTAATAAAACTGAACATGGTATATTTTTGCCTATATAGGCGAAAAATATACAAATACAAATTGAATTTATTGAATTGATATTAAGTAAACGTTCTTTGCTATAAGATCAAAAAATTATTATTTGAAATAGTAGAACAATTAGAAAATAAATCGTTTGAAAATAATTTCGAAAGTCTTACTTGATAAACTATATTCAAACGATTTATTTCCAAAGTATTGTTTTATGTCAAACATGATCAGGGGGTCTTGAAACGTGTATTTACGCGTCAATTTTTCATTCAATATGGGCTTTGCTTATATATTTGTGTCTATATAACTTGAATTTAAATTCAAATGGTAATGAAAAATCAATGACGCATGTTTGTACATTATTTTTTAATCCTGGACTCGTTAATGGTACTTCTCTAAGATTAGATAGGGACAGTAATGGGGAAGAAAATTTAGTGTCAGTGCCTTCTGGTTCGTAACATTTAAGCTTTTTATTACAGTCTCTCATCATGTATTTCATAAAACCTCTCCATCTATTCGTTCCTGATTGCAGAAATGCATATATAACTCTAATAATTTTTAAACTTATTACATTGCTCAATGGATAGGAATAATCCTCTATTTGTACAGAACAAATATATAAACGTCGAACCAACAAGTCCATAATATATGCAGGATAATTGCCCATAAGAAATTCATCTACAAACAAATTAGGTACATTAGCTAGTAGTGCATTATTGGTAGTAGATTCTGACCCCTTTAAGCATGTCTAATATTTCAACTTCGTTTTCTTCCTCTTTTTCTTCTTCTTCGGATGATTCAAAATCTCCATTTTTATCAGTTTCTTCTATGTACATTAGACTATTAACATCTCCATCAAATTAAAAAATTCTGTTTATGGAATGTGTTGTGGCACGAGCTGCATATTCCTGTAAAAACCCCAATGGAAGTAAACAAGTATTTCTGTAGATGCATTTGTATAGCCATTTATATTAATTTCTATTATGCTTAATATTTATTGTCTTACGGTTTTAGGTGATCTACATAGTATTCCAATGACTGCTCTGTCCAAGGTGTAAAATCCGCTCAACCATTGTAAAGTTGCTTCTATACAATACTGTCGATTACTATACCTTTTTCTTGTTATTCGTCGTAACTTTAAATAACGAAAGAGGTTTCTAAATGTACCACGTTTTACATAATCATTGCCTAGTAATATTGCAGCTAATGGCAGTGTAGATTGACTTAAACCTCTATAAGAATTTAATAAGTGTTCAACTTTATAAATTTTACAACGTTTCGTGTAACCATTTCCAGTTGAACTTTTCACCGTGTAATTGTCCAATGTATCAAATGGTATGTGCAATGTCTCAAACACATAAAAATCTGAATCATAACTCAATAGAGGACAATTCAATATCCTTGCTACAGTAGCTATAGCATTAACAGCTTCGAATAATTTTAACAAATCGTCAAAAAAATCCGATACTCGTTGAGCGTATTTATCGTAATCACCGACAAAAACACAATTGCACTTGTACGAATTATATATTTGACAGCTAAATAACTAAATACGTATCACGTAGCTCGAAATATTCCAAATAACGATCTGAACGATTGTTTATGAAAGTTGTTAAACCTGGAATACCCATTTTGAAACCTATTTATTACTTTACACTTTTCTTAATGTTTCATATCACAAACTAAGTTCGTTATGCGTATATCAATATTAGTTATTATGCATTTATACATAGGTTGCATGTAACAGGTACTTTCACAAATTTTGTGTCATTCGTTGTTTTATTTGAATCAAAAGTTTGTTAAATATTATACTTTGACTACTTGGATAAATCAAAGAAATACAAGAGCTGTGCATAATGTTTTTGCATTGATCTTTACGATATTACAAACCGTTATAATAAAAAATAAAATTAGATAGTATACTGATCTTGCATAATTAAGTGCATTGACGGGCGACAATACTAACGACGAATTTCCTTCCTATACATATAGGCAAATATACCATGTTCAGTTTTATTGCATAACTTGTGCCATAACAGAGATGTAAAGTGTCTCTGAGTTGTTAAATATAAAAGTGGTTAGAAAACAGAGATGTAAAGTGTCTCTGAGTTGTTAAATATAAAAGTTGTTACAAAACAGAGATGTAAAGTGTCTGTGTATTGTTAAATATAAAAGTTGTTACAAAACAGAGATGTAAAGTGTCTCTGAGTTGTTAAATATAAAAGTTGTTACAAAACAGATATGTAAAGTGCCTCTGAATTGTTAAATATAAAACTTGTTACAAAACAGAGATGTAAAGTGTCTCTGAGTTGTTAAATATAAAACTTGTTCAGTTTTGGTGTTCAGTTTTGGTGTTCAGTTTTGGTGTTCAGTTTTGGTGTTCAGTTTTGGTGTTGTTCCCAAATATGAGATTTTCTTGGTCTTTAAAAAGACCGGTTTGTCCCTTGGCCGCTGCTCGTGAACCATCTTCTTGGCCGCCATCTTCGATTTTGATTGAATGGAAATCTTCGATTAAATTCTTCATCTCGATACGGTCCGTCTTGCTTGGTGGTTGAGGGATATCTGCCGCGGGCCCGCCAGGGGGCACGGTTTTTATAGAACTTCTTGAAGCCGGAAGACTGCTGACTGGCTGCTGATTGGCTCGTTGATTCTTTGGCTTGACTGCATAAAAGCGGGCACAACTGACCGACTCTTTTCAGTACTCCTGGAACCGCCGGGGGTACTGTCACGCGTTTTTCTTTCTGTTTCAGATTCTCTGATTCTGCGATGCTGACTAGGAAGGATCACCGATTGGTATACATATAATTATATTAATATAACTAATCCCAATATTGTTTTTTTCATTTATATATATATAGGTGATGTAATATTTGGGGTGTTCGTCTCGTTAATTAATACATTTATTTTTCTTTCAGCTTTTATCTGTATTACATCGTTGGTTTGTTATTTTCCAAATGATTCTATTTTATCTTCCATCTTGCACATCGTTGGTTTCTTCTTTTTCTCATTGTTACATTCTTTATTTTACTTCGTTGGGTTGTTCTCTTCAAAATTACTCTATTATTCACCGTGTACATCGTTGGTTTGTTTTTTTTCTAATAATTCGTTTTTCCTTATCTTACTTCGTTGGGTTGTTCCAATTCATTATTCCATACAATTTGTTTTTCATTATTTATCTAGGTTATATTTTTGTTTTTCATGTATAACTATTAATTTTTATTTTAGTTTTTTACCAGATCAATTTCTAGGAGGAGGAGGAGATCAATAGATGACGTCGGCCGTATCGTAAACGTAAGCCGATTAATTTTAAGGCGCGGCGCGAATGTAAAAATTAACGTCGAATATTTCTTTTTCCTTTTATCTCATTCCTATGTTTATTTCAATTCCCGTTTTAATCTCATTAATTCCACCTACGACGTTAATTTTCAATTTACATTGTATATTATTTTATTTAATGCGTAGATTGCCAAGTAATGAATTAATTAACAGCTTCTTTTCCAGTCTCGTTCCCCCGTTTCTAGCTCCGGTCACCGCTGCTTTAATGTAGAAAGCAAGTGATCGGCCGTTTAGATGGTTCGAAGGGTCGGTTGCCGTCCTCTGGTGAGACAATTCTAGGGAAAGAGTCATCGGCCGTAGAGGGGACCTGTTCCTGTCTGCGGTAGCCCTGACTCAGGATCTCTCTCCTTTGTCAGACGTCCCGGGTTGGGTCCTACGGGCTCCCAGCAGGACGCGTTGGAGAAATGGGGAACCCGTGTCTGGTGCGTCGATTCTCCTCCCCTTCAATTGGACTTGCTAAGAGGTAACGAGCTGCCCCTTTTGACCCGCTATTCGGTACGTGTCGCACCTCATGTTCCTACTGCACTGCGCAGTATTGTGTCGCGTTTCGTCGTGTCGCGTCTACCACAATTTAGCTTCCTCCTTTGTTTTAGAAAAGTAATTACTTGGCATCTTTTTTTTTGCGTCATGCGTTAGTTCTAAGTCTGTAAAAAGGAAGATTGATCGAACTTTGTTCCATCGGTCTCACTTTGGGTCTCCACTCGCAGCAACCTCCTCGTGGTGAGACCTGGTAATCGGTGTTACCTTTGAAGAAAAACTTCTTCATTATGGGTAACACCGAGCTAATGGCTGCGAATTTAAAACAATATAAATTTGATTTTTAATCTAAATCAAAATCAAATGTTGTCTAATACTTTTTTCTAGGTACTAATTCTAGAAAAAATTTCAATGAGATAACTTTTACTTTATTTATTTTCAAGAATCGTATTTATAATATACATATGTGTGCTCATACATGGGAATTAAAAAAAATTTCTTTTTTTTCAATAATTAAAATATGATCAGGAGGTCTTAAAACGTGTATTTCCGTAAAATAAATTTTACAAAATTTTTTTTTCATTATGGGTACTTTGCTTATGTGCGCCTACATAGGTCGGAAAGTAAAAATGCCTGGGCAGTCGAGAATCCAAATCGTATGCCGTTGACGGGAGATCGGATTTCAGTTGTGTGGGAGCGAGAAGGCAAATGTGAGCCTTTCTCTTTCGACTTCCACGAAGCCTTTGTCGTCTTTCCGAAACTCCACGAGCTCACGTACGCGTATCTAGCATGAGCGAGTGTGCACCCGACGGTGCTTTTCTGGCATCACTGGTCTGGACGTCAATTTTTTGTATTCTTTAGAATTAAAGAAAGAGACACTTTTGTGTCGAATTTCATCTCATGCCTTTAGCCTATTTAACAAGTATAGATAATTTTTTTCATGTAATAATATTTAAAATGGTTGAATTCAGGAAAATATCCATTCAATTTTAAAGAGATTTAAAATAGTACATATCTACGTTTGTATCGATATTATGATGAGCAGAGATTACCACTAAGTGATATAGATGGCGTAATTGAAGAATTGAGAAAGCTAGTTCTATTAGTGGCCACAGTGGTTCTACAGTAGATTCGCGTAAAGCAGGTTAAGTTAAATCCAAGCAGAGCCGAACATGGGTTTGTTGACAGATCCTACAGCCGGATCTGGAAAAATAATAAAATTATTATTAAAATGGGAACAACCACTTTGTTTTCTTCTTTATGTCAGTGGAATTATTTGGATATTACTTCTCGCTCTACCGACATTTAATGACAGTAAGTGTTAGACTAATGTGCAATTTAAAATAAGAAAGATTGGTTATGTTTTTATTTATCAATTATCAATTAATTTTATTGCTATCGGTATTTCATTTACTGTTATTAATTAAATGTCTTTATATGATGCGTGTTCACATAGAAAACCGTTTGTCTTTACTTTCCACAAACCTCATAACGTTTATGTAAAACATTGTTTGAAATCATTAATAACTGTAGTAATATTTGTATACGTTGATGAAAACAAATCATCCTATATGAATTAAGTTTTATAATTTAATGTCTTCGTAAATGTAAAATAATGTAAGTCTAAATAATATTCGTACATTAGTTTCTTCATTTCAGATACTTATTTTTCTGAAAATGCATTGTTGCCTGGGTTGGTTACCAAAGAAAGTAACTTGGAACAAATATCAAAACAAAATTACGTAGAATTAATGCATGAAATGGAACGGAACCCTGATGCAATGCCATACGCGTGGCTGGCTGCTAAATTAAATCAGCTTCAATTAGACGTTTTCGTGCACAATTTTTCATTAATATATCCCTTCCAAGAACAACGGGTAAATAAAAAATAATCAAATTGATTTCAAATATGAAATTTATTTCTTGAAGTAGCTCAAATTACACAGTGAAATTTTATTTAAGCCAAATAGTTTATTAAAAGACGAGTAATTTACAAATTGAATTGGAAATACTTAATAGGTTGCAGATTACAATGATTTTATTTAGTTTACAGGAAAAAATATATATGGAATTATAAGAGCACCCAGAGCAGCTAGTACAGAAGCAATCGTAGTTAGTGTTCCCTTTAGGCCAATTCACACTATTTATTTGGATACTGTTTCTTCTGTAGCTCTTCTTCTTGCATTTGCCAAATTTTGTAGAAGTAAGTGTTTTATTAATTCTGTATAAGAATACAAAACTGCTAAGAATAAAATTCTACCCATAAAAGTGTATATTTACCTTAATTTATTAATACAACAATTTTAAGAAACCTGTGTTGTTTTTTGCTTTTTTAGGGCAAACGTATTGGGCGAAAGATATTATATTCTTAATAACGGAACACGAACAATTAGGAATTCAGGCATGGTTAGATGCGTACCATGGAGTTACAAGTGGTACCGAAGGTGTAGTTATATCCGGAGATCTTTCAGGTCGTGCTGGTTCCATTCAAGCTGCTATTAATTTAGAATTACATTCGATGAAAATTTCATCTATCGACGTTAAGGTATGAACAAAATATAAATTTTTCCACAACTTTTCTAATTACAGTTTGGAGATATTGGAATCATTTGAGCTTCCCAGTTATTTAAAGTTTATGAATATTGTAGCGATATAAGCATTACAACTGACGAAAAAAATTTTAAAAAGTCTCATCGTTGCATCAATTTGAATTACTGCCTAGGTAGAGGGATTAAATGGACAACTACCCAATTTAGACCTTTTCAATTTAGCACAAAATATGATTGCTAAAGGGGGAATCAGACAATCGTTTCACAGACGTTTTGATATTAAATATAAAGATAAATTTAAAAATTGGTGGTATCATTTTAATACGCTTCTTATGATGATTGCTACTCAGGCTACTGGAGTCCCAACAGGAAATCACGGGCTTTTTCATAGGTATCAACAAATATTTAGAAGAGTGATGAGTTACAATTACAATCATTATTAAATTTTAATAATTTAGAGGTCAGAGCATTTAATATAGTTTAATATTTTTTCACAAATGAAATGTTATCGAAGGTTTGGCATCGAAGCAATTACTTTGCAAGGTTTTGAGGAACCTGGGCAACAAAATTCTGATGAAAATTTGTATCAAGTAGGCCGCATAGTGGAGAGCATAGTACGATCGTTAAATAATTTACTAGAACGGTTTCATCAATCTTACTTTTTTTACCTACTTCCATCGACTGATACTTATATTTCCATTGGTGAGTAAAGATTTTCATATCTTTTTTCAAACAGAATGTTCATTTGATTGTATAGTCATGTAAGTATTTGAATTTTGCACTTTTAATAAATATGATCGTTTTAGGGCTCTATATAAGGTCCCTAGTTTTAATTATTGCTGTAGTGTTTATTAAAGCATTTTCTATGTGGCAAAGGCTTCAAGTATCCACTTCTATAGAAAATAAAAAAATTACTCATATTAAACAAGTAAAGGTTTGTTATTTTTATATATATATATATATATCGTGTGAGTAACTAATAAAAGTTTGTTTTAAAAGGTACTTTGATAATTTTATTGGTAAAACTTGGGCATTAATGTAGTATATTTTATAGAAAGATGGATTTGATATTGGAACTATAACTTCCGAGATTCTATGGGCACACATTTGTGGAGTTGTAATTGCATCATCTCCTCATGCATTGACTTATTTTGGCAGTAAAATATGGGATCTTCGTACAGAAGATTCTGTATATTTTGGATTTTTGGCAATGGCTATTTTAACAATAATATGGCCACTTTATTGCAAAAGGTAGGCTTCAATGTTGGCTGTAATGTAAATTTAACAAAATCATTAAAATAATTTTGTTTATTTCTAGACGAACGAAGTATAAAAATGCAGCTTTAATTTATGTGATCACATCGGTAGAACTGGCCACTGTATTGATGTGTATAGCAATGCATAATTTTTCCTTAGCCCTCGTTGCTGCTGTAGTTTATGTTCCTGCTATTCTGCCAATAACACCAAAACAAAATTCTACCAGCAAGTAAGCCTAACTTGAGAAATTGACTACTCAGATTTTTTGTATACTAATTTAAACTGGCACAAATTATTTTCAATATTCATACCTACAGTTTCTATTCTTAAAGCATTTATATATTTCACAACATTCTCAGGACTTACTATTCAATTATGTTGCAGATTTCGCAGAGTGATATTCTTTTTCTGGATTCTTTTACATCCATTTGTGATCTCAAGTCTACTCGTATTGTGTTACACATACATTAATTTCTCCACAGATTCTATTCTTTTGATTCTGTATAGAGCATACCGTGCCACAAAGCAAGCATACGTTTTCAGTATTATGGATTCAATGATATTTGGAAATTGGTTTTATAATGTAACAATATCTATGGTACTTCCTATTTGGCTTTTGTTCTGGAATATTTTATGTTCGGATAGTGTACTACAGTCTTCTTAATACGTGTAAACTATTTTTGTCATAGCAGTAATAATAATAATAATAATAATAATAATAATAATAATAATAATTTTAGTTAATTATTTATAAATATCCGTCGTTGTTTATATTAAATTTATTAATATAGCTCAACCAAAGTTAGTGTAATAACATCGGGACCGAAGTTACATGAAGTTGAGAATAAAAAAAAATGTCTTTTTTTTCAATAATTAAAATATGATCAGGAGGTCTTAAAACGTGTATTTCCGTAAAATAAATTTTACAAAATTTTTTTTTCATTATGGGTACTTTGCTTATGTGCGCCTACTACATAGGTCGGAAAGTAAAAATGCCTGGGCAGTCGAGAATCCAAATCGTATGCCGTTGACGGGAGATCGGATTTCAGTTGTGTGGGAGCGAGAAGGCAAATGTGAGCCTTTCTCTCTCGACTCCCACGAGGCGATCCGAAATTACTTCGGGCAGCTTCGGAGAATCGAGAAAGAGGGCATGCGTCAGTTTGCCTTTGTCGACTTTCCGAAACTCCACGAGCTCACGTACGCGTATCTGGCATGTGCGCGTGTGCACCCGGCGGTGCTTTTCTGGCATCTCTGTATTATTCTTTAGAAATTTACTATGAATATAAACAAATTTTGTATTTTCCCTTGCTTTAAATAAATGAAAACCAAAGCTGCTTTGTAAATGGAAGCAGCTTTAATATATTCGACAAATTTAAGTATGTAAATTAAGTAGCTAATGATAGTGGCTACCGAAAATGTTACGATATTTTCTGTGTATGCCGCCATTGTAACAGTTTCCGTGGAAACCATAGCATCTGGTGTATACAAACAATAATGCCAATAATACTTTGAAGTTATATTGAAAAATCGTTTCTTTATTACGGAAAAACGATGAAAGCTGTACCAGCTTGGGTCGACAAAGTTCAAGACAAACCAGAATGGTGGTAATTTTAGAAGATATTTTTTCTAACAAAATACTAATGTTAAATTATTAAAAATTGTATGAAACAACAATGGAAAATATATGTGTGTATAAAACATTGTTGCAGTATATACGACTTGTGTTTTAATCCAGATGGAACTCAATTAGTTATTGCTGCCGGCCAGCAAGTTTTGGTTTATGAGACCACAGAAGGGGCCTTGATTCAGCCACTAAAAGGTAGTTTGAATTGTAGAAGTTTAACCCAGGCTCAGATTCACTGTAACTAGATTAGAAAAATCATAAGTCAAGGTTTTGATAATATAAGAAAATTATAGATCATATTTATATTTATACTTTGTAGGGCATAAGGACATAGTTTATTGTGTATGTTATGCAAAAGATGGTAAAAAATTTGCATCTGGAGGTGCAGATAAGAGCGTCATTATTTGGACATCAAGACTGGAGGGTATCCTGAAATATTCGTACGTTAAATAGTTTTCTACAGGTTATAGTATTCAAATTCAAAATTCAAAAATTTGTGCTTGATCGTATCCATAAATAACATTAACATTAACTTTGGCCATGAAAGCCTAACATCTCTGTATTTGAAATATTTGCTATATGATTTTTTAGACACAACGAAGCTGTTCAAGCTATGCAGTTTAATCCAGTATCGCATCAGCTTTTGAGTTGTTCTCTATCGGACATAGCATTTTGGTCTCCGGAACAGAAAGCAGTTGTGAAACATAAATCAAAAGGCAGAGTCAATTGTTGTGCTTGGACGAGCGATGGTCAATACTTGGCCATTGGATTAGCAACTGGCTATGTTTCCATTAGAAATAAAGTTCGTTTTATTCGTTTCTAAAGTCTATGCAGTCGACTATTATGGATGATTTGTATTTGTCATTCAATGTATAATTTAAATTACTTTGAATTTTAGAATGGAGAAGAACAGATACGTATTGATAGACAAAATGAAGTACCAATATGGAGTTTACTATGGAATCGTCAATGGTAATAAACAGCTATTATTCTACCGTGCTAATGATTTTTAGATTTTAATTTGTTACAATATTAATTTAAATTATTCACAGGGAAAATTGTACAGATGTTCTCTGTATAGCAGAATGGAATGGAACTATATCCTTTTATTCGATAGCAGGAAAACCAGTTGGGAAAGATAGATTATTAAATTTCATTCCTCTCAAAATGTGCAATTTCGCAGGAGGTCAATATATTTTGATTTCAGGAAGTAATAAACAATGTATATTAATGACGTATGATGGAATACAATTAATCAATGTTGGTGGTACATTTTCCTCTTGGGTTTGGAGCTGCGCTGTGCACCCAACTTCTACACATATTGTAAGAATTTGAGAATTTATTCAAAGTCCTGTTAATTAAAAACTTGCCTAACTATTTCTTACTTAACAATGTAGGCATTAGGTTGTAAGGATGGTACGATAACATATTTGCAATTATCGTGGAACGTTGTACACGGATTATACGGAGACAGATACGCGTACAGAGAAAATATGACTGATGTAATAATACAGAATTTGATTACCGGTGAAAAGGTTCGAATCAAATGTAAAGATTTGGTGAGTAAAATTAATGATCTTGATACATTTTTAACGGTGCTAGATGATATTTAGTTATGTATTTCAGAATTACAATTAATTTATTTAATAAACTATTAAAAACAAGTTTAGCAAAATTATCTATTATTCGTAAATAAAAATAAAACGTTTATTATTATATTTCTGACTTTCAAAAACTTTGGATCTTTATAAATAAAGTTTCTAATTAAGTTAAATGTACGGATAAATGATACCGTTTACAGGGATTATCATTTTAATTTCAGATCTCCCGCATTGCTGTATATAAGAGTAGACTAGCAGTTCAATTATCTGAACGTGTGATAATTTATGAACCAACAAATTCCAATGATGGAATGCACTACCGCATATGCGAAAAATTAAATCAAGCATTGAATTGCAATTTATTAGTTGTTACAGCAAATAACTTGATTTTATGTACAGAAAGGAGATTACAGAGTTTATCTCTAACTGGAATTGTAGAAAGAGAATGGATACTAGACGGATTTATAACTTATATAAAAGTCGTTGGTGGTCCAGTTGGTCAAGAATGTTTAATCGCAGGTTTGTGTTATAAAATGGATGCATGTTTATGAATTCACTTAAAACGAATACAAATTAATTTCTATTTTATTATTCTCTTTATTCTTTGTAGGTTTAAATACAGGCTATATAGTAAAAATATATTTAGATAATCCCTTCCCAGCACATTTAACGAAAATTGAAGGCTCTATAAGATGTATTGATGTTAGCTCGTTAAAAGAAAAGCTTGCAGTAGTTAGCGATCATGGGGTCCTTTATGTATTCGATTTGTATACGGAGGAAATACTTCAAGAGTTCCAAGAAGTAAACAGTGTAGCATTTAACAGTAATTTCGAGGATATAATGTGTTTTTCAACCGGGGAGTATTTAGTAATTAAAGTGGGAAATTTTACGGAGTACAGACAAAAGTTTACTGGATTTGTCGTGGGCCATAATGGATCGAAAGTGTATTGTTTAAATGGATCTTGTATTATTACAATGGAGGTAAAGTTCAACTTAAATATTTATTAATTAAGTCTACAAGAAAATTGTACATGATTTATAAGATATTTCCATTGAACAAATCATAAATGATATATTACATATGCTAATAACTTATACATTGCATGCATACAGGTACCATTATCTCTATTCATGTACCAGTATCTAGACATTGGACTTTTCTCTCATGCTTATCATATAGCATGCCTCGGGGTAGCAGATTCAGATTGGTTTACTCTAGGCACTCATGCTTTGGAACACCTAGAGTTAAGTACAGCATGCTCTGCCTTTGCTAGGGTCAAAAACCTACGGTACATAGAAATCGTGTCCGAGGTGGAAGAAAAACTTAAATCCGGCGAATGGGGAAGAGAAGCGTGTATGGCTACTGCTGCCGCTGCTATGGGAAAATTGAAAGATGCTGCAAAACTTTATCAGAAAGCTGGATTACAGCAATACGCGTTGACAATGTATTCTGATTTACGTATGTTTGATATCGCGCAAGAATTCATTGTTAGCGGAAACAGCCAGGTTAGGTTAAATACTTTGTAAACCTTGTAGTATTTTTATGTGATATAAGCTTAATTCTTATGAAAGAAATATTTTTTTTTTTGGTAATACGTTAGGATCGTACGATATTACTCCGTAAAAGAGCAGAGTGGGCTAAGAGTCTCGGAGAACCTCGTGCGGCAGCGGAAACATTTCTCTCAGCGGGGGATATAGACCGTGCCATTAACATAATCGCGGAATATGGTTGGATCGATATGTTAATTAAAGTGGGCAAACAACTCGATAAAACAGACAGAGACAATTTGACTGTGATTGCTAAAAAATTGAAGAAATTGGGCGCAACCCATGGCGCGGCTGAAATTTTTGGTCGTTTGGGAGACGACCCTGACGTAGCGGACGTCTTAGTGGATGCTCGAGCTTGGCCAGAAGCTTTCGAATTAGCCGAAAGAAATCCGAAACTGAAAGCAAGAATATATGGACCGTATGCTAGGTGGTTGGTAGAGACTGGTCATTTTTCCGAAGCGCAGGAAGGTAAGTGTGTACACAATTATTAGTATCCAAGGCGCTTTATCGATAAAAAATTTTCTTTGAATTTGTTTATGAATACCATTGGTACGGATATTAAAAAATTTTCCACAATTTTGTAGCTTTTCAGATAGCAGGACAATCGGAAGAATCTGTAATGGTTTTAACGATGTTGGCGAAAAATGCTATTGCCGAGAATAGATTTCGCGATGCTTCTTATTTTTACTGGCTTCTATCGCAAATCAGTTTAAACCTTAACAGAAGCGACGACGAATTACAAACAATATTTACCCAGTATTATGAAAAGGCTGACATATATTATGCTTATCACGAAATCCACAAATATGTTGTAAGTAGAAATCTTAACGAAGTAATTTTTTATTTTATATTTCCATTGTCTAATAAATGTTTAATTATGGTAAGGACAATGATCGTTCCATTTCAGGAAGAGCCATTTACATCGTTAATGCCAGAGGCTCTTTTTAACATTTCACGATTTCTTTTAACAAAGACTCAGAATATTCAAGTAGACGGAATCTCAAGATTTATTATAATGTATACTTTGTTGAAACAAGCTTCCATTCTTGGTGCTCATAAATTGACAATGCAGCTGCTCGAAAAGCTGCGTAAAACAAGAATTCCAGCAAGTCAACTCGGCCAGTTAGAAACTTCAAGTTTATTGGCTCGAGCCTCGCCTTATAGAGATCCCGAGGAACTTATGCCACTTTGTTATAAATGTTCAACTTTTAATCCTTTATTATCGCTAGATAATCAGGGGCATTGTGTGCAGTGTCGTTTAAAATTTAAATATTCCTTTGTAATGTTTGGTAAGTTTCATTTAATTCTATGTATATATAGATTCTTTAAAAGAATGTGAGACGAATACAATATTTAAACCGACGACTTTAACATAAATAAATAAATTATTTTAATCATAATTTCTGGAAATTTGTATAGCAATACATAATTTCAGAAATTCTGCCATTAGTTGAATTTGAATTAGAGGAAGGCATTTCAGACGAAGAAGCAGAGAAATTAATAAATGAATCATTATCATCAACTGACAATATAATAGACAAAGATCAGCTTACCATTGCTCCTGAAGTAGATTTGTTTACTGCACGTTTAATGAAATATGAGGTACATAATATATCTTTCATATAACTGTTACTTATGTTCTTTTTTAATCAAGTACGTAATAATATAGCTTTGTTTACAATTAAAAAAAAAAAAAAAAAAAAAAATTAGTAGGCGATACAAATTATTTTTCATTTTTTACCACACAGTTTTTAAATTAGCAATAATTTATTTGATTGTAATACATTTGCTAATTCGTATTTTAGGAAAAATCGAGTACTTCTACTATAATTGTTGGAAGAAGCGTTTTGAAGAGTATGGATCCATGTACTGTATTGATCATAAAGTGGCCAAGACCATTTAAAACACGATATTTTAAAAATCTTTTGCCCGATCTACAAATTACTGTTTGCAAATCTTGTCTAAAGGTATGGAAAATAATTCAAAGTTATTTTTATCACAAAAGCAAATTAAATTAAGATAATAAAAAAATGATCGATAAACGTAATGTTCATGGTAGTATGGGAAATCGTTTCTATCCAGTTTAGAAAATTTTTATTTGCACATAGCAGCAATATAATAGCTATACTTTGTAGGAATAATAATAATTTTTCGTCATTCTTTTCAGCTATTTCATTTGGACGATTATGAACTGGCTTTATTACGATACGGACACTGTCCATTTTGTAGAACATTAAATAAATTTTCTGATTAGAATTCTTTCATTACTATGAAATGCACGTGTATTAATTACATTTTCTTTATATTGTAATAAACTGTTGTACATTTCAAATAACTCAAACACATAAAAATCTTCGATAAAATAAACATAAATCAAACAATCTTTAAATAATTTAATATCATGAGATAATATCGGAATATAAAGTCGTACAATAAAGGGAAATGATTTAACTGTTCTGCATAAAAGTTATAATACGTTTTTTTAAATTTCTTTAAAGTCATTTTTTAAAGCTTCTTCTTATACAAATATTAATTTTATATGGTCAAAGAATTAAACAGATTTAATATATCTGTATGGAAAATACATAAAAATTAATTGAGATAGTCTCTCGTACCAGGTATAAAGATCAACTGACTAAAAATATAGTATAAAATAATGTATATTTAAACCATCCAAATTTTATTTGTTCGTTTATTATTAACCCATCTTGTTCTGTGCTAGGTATTGATAATACAGTTATGTAAACATGAGCAAATAGTAAGTTGGTTTTTGTCTACATGCTAATTGTTCTGATTCCTTGAGTACCGTTAAACGAAATCTTTGGAAGAATCGAGCGTGTTCCGAACAGTTATAATCCGAAAGATGTTGTGCATAGTCCCTCTAATGATTTTCCTCTTTGGAAATTCTGTCTTCTGTGAAACCGGCCTATCGGATAGTATGAATGTCAAGGAAATCCAAAATTCAAATATCAGAGGAAGATGTGAGTACTATTTTTAACAAGAAATTGAATAACGTTGTTCTTGAATTATTAACAAACAAAAGTTGGAAATGAAATACATAATATTAGGTTTATTTTAATAAACTGTAACAAAGTGATTGTTACTACAAATTGTTTATATTTAACGTAAGAACTGTTCCTTCGCCCTTATAAATCTTTAATAAATATTGATACAAATATTAATATAAAATTTAATTTCATACAAATTTCTGATTAGACAAAAATACAATGCTTGTTTTTCATAAAGAGTAAGATAAATTTGTTTATTGTGCAAGTGACGTTAAATTATTAAAAGGATTTTCAAACAGTTTTCCCGCTATTCAGTGTTGTCCGTTTTGCAAATTCACAATGCCTGGCTAGCAACAACTTAAATGGCACTTGTTTTACTAGAAGAGAATGCCGTGATTATGGTGGAACAGCATCTGGCACTTGTGCAAGCGGACATGGTGTCTGTTGTGTTTGTAAGTAAACAAATAATTGGGCTCCCCCAAAATTCAAACTAATAAAAATGTTTATAATTAATTTTTTACAGTTCAAAAATCATGCGGATCTACCACAAACGTAAATAATACATATTTTACAAATCCAGAATATCCGACAACTTATGATGGAAGAGGAAGATGTGTAATAACAGTGAATCGTTGTAATTCGAACATATGTCAGGTATGCGATACACAGAATATGTGTGAGACATTAAATATCTACTACATATTATATGTATACTTAACAATAATACACACACAAAATATTATTATCTATAAGATAAAAAATAACAAAATGTTAGAACTTTGTTAAAACTTTTGTTGTAGTTACGTTTGGACTTTTTGGAATTTAGTCTTGCCTCGCCAAATGCCAGTGGAATTTGTGACTATGATCTTTTTCTAGCTTCTGGATCGTCAACATCAGTGCCTCGAATTTGTGGAGAAAACGCAAACCAACATGGTAACAATAAGAAACATAGACGTGCCGTAATTTACAAGATATCGAAGTAATAAATATTTAAAATAATTGTTTAAAAATTCTGTAACATATTCTTAAACTTTCTAGTTTACATGGATTTTAATAATGGATCACCAATTATGTTATCGATCGACACTAACTCTGAATATTCTACAGAACGTCGTTGGAACATTAGAATTCAACAAATACCCTGCGACGCCACTTACAGAGGTATGCACATTATTATATTATATTCTTTTGTTAAATGCTCATATATTTTATACCTTTGTTACAGCTCCGAACGGATGTTTACAATATTACACTAGCGTTTCAGATACTGTAACAAGTTTTAATTATGGCGCAACGCAAAATCCAAGAGGTACTATAAGCAACATTTTAATTTGTCAAAATAACTAAACGAGTTGCTATAACCGCGTTTTTTGTATAAATGTTATAGCACCAGCATATGGTACTCGACAAATGGCAAACACAAATTATGGTGTATGCGTAAGAATGGCTCAAGGGTATTGTGCCATTGAATGGTCACAAACAACTCCGAATTCGTTTACAGTGTCCGGTGATACAGGTTCTTTTGATTCAACTATAATAGGTAAACATTACATGATAAAATATTAAGAAGTTTTAAAAACGTGTAGTAGTCTACACGTGAAGTAGGAACCTTTACTTTCTTTATTATCTTTATTTCTGCTTAGAACAAACACGTGTGTTTAAAAGGTATTATGCAAAAGACTCCAGAACGAATTGATCGCATATGTGGAGAACTAATTGTACAGGGTGTTTTTTCTTAATGATGTTTAAAATTGCATTTATAATAAATAGAATATTTAGCGTCAGTCGTCGGCGAGAATAACACATCTAACTGATAACTAGGTACCGAGTATGCAGCAGAAGCAGGAACAAATTGTACTAAAGATTTTGTTATCGTTCCACATCCATTTGTAAGTGGCGTTCCAGTTGGCGTAGAACGGTTCTGTGGTAATGGTTTTGTAACAAAAACATGTAAGAGCTTTTAACATATTTCTAAACGTTTTCACAAACTATCGATTTATCATCCACTCTCGTTTACAAAAAATTTTTTCTTGAAAAATTTCGCAACAATTTTAAACCTGACTACATAAATTACTTTATTTTAGCATATTCGAAACCGTTTGTGTTGTATGTTGTCACAAATGGAGATGAAGTGGGGGAAATTGAAAATAAAGGATTTTCATTGACTTATCGTCAAGTACCTTGTGCAGTTTAAATTAAGAAAATATTATAGATCTGATATATAGATCTGTATAACGATTATATGTAATAATGATAGGACAAATAAAACTATGTAAATATTTTATAAAAAAAAAAGTAAAGGAGTTCCTACCGATCAAGTATCTGCGCTTGAATAGTTTTCTATTATTCATTTTGAATAATTTAGTCTGAAATGAAGTAGAATTGAGACTGTATTCAAGGTACAATGAATACAGTTACTCTCAACTTTCATTGATGGATCCTATGCATACATATAACTGGGCTCGAAAGGTCTGCTTGGTAGTCACCATATGCACCCTCATAGAATGGATCCAAAAATTGAATTCTCACCATGTGTAATCAAATTTGGATTACACTAAGAATTTTTTAATGCGTCGAACAGTGTTTGAAACATTGATTTTAACCCTTTAAATAAGTTTTAAGCATTTGAAGGCAGCTCCATTTTAAATTTATGGTCAATTAATATTTGCCATAAAAAACTTTACACAAACTTTAGAATCTATAACTCTTTTATTGTTTTTTTAATAAATAGAATTGAAATATTGGAGCTGCCTCTTCTTATTTGCATCAAACCCTTTGGTTCCTATACTATTCGTTCATAACAAAGCGTGTTTATATCTCGGAATGAACAAGTTTCCGAATTTATGTTTATACAACTGGTTTTTTTTCATCCTTAAAAAGAGTAAAATATGGTATACTGACGAGGTAAGTACCTAAGTACATACTTACTTACGACCACCTATTTCGGAACCACCTTGTAGAATTATACGCACGCGCCGAAGCCACACGCTCCAAAGATAAATATGTATCTTACTAACGTTAATATAAATGAAAAATATGTTTTATTTTCTTATTATATACGCGTGCTTATATTTTGTCGTCGAATATTCGATAATTTGTAATTATTGCATTTAATTATTACGATTTTCGAATTTTCAATTCCACAAATGCAACCACGGCCATTGCGAATATACGCAACGTCATAAGCTCAGTGAAGGAATTTCAGAACCCGACGGTAAAACGTGTCGTGAATTTTCGTTTCAGTGCGCGCAGTTGAACCGACTTGCTTTACGATAGTTACATCTCTCGGATCGTAATCTATGACAGATTTTAATAATACATTACTGTTACAGAGTATCGTGTACGAAAATATTCTATGGCTATCGAAAGCTAGTCATGAATTTCGGAAGTGTAGAATGCCCGTTGCGTAGGTCGAAAAGAACATACGCCAAAGGCGCTATTGAATCGCGCCATCTAGATATCGTTAGGAAGAAATTATATTAGTGAAAGTTTAGAAAAACTTTTGAATAATGTTATTACTCTGTCCGATAACGAGTACTGTAAGGTAAAATTAATAAATAGAAAACTTGTTATAACGCACACCGATCACGATTGCGTGAAACTTAAACGCAAGAGCATATACGCCTTATGATTAAATCCACATAACCTCAATTTCGGATGAAAAATGAATACCTGCGATTATGAGAGCGTAATTTCATATTTGTCTTATGGAGAAAATGAAAAGATTCAATCGTTTCTGAGAGAAGAAATCAAAGGCATTTTTCATTTTACGAATAAATACGTAAATTTTAAAAGTCTGAAAATATCGGTAATATTAAAGTAACGACTGCAAACTTATTGCAGTAACAATAAATATATGTATAGTAAAGTTACACGAATTGAGTTTTATCAGTTTTTTTTTATAAATCATTGAACTCGTTAATGATGGCATCTGATGCATATAATAGTCTTGTGTAAAATTATTCTGCAGGAAAAATAACAAACACTCTAAATACAACATGCACAAGCAGCGTTACAAAACGGATTAAAGTTTCTTTCTTAATAAACAATAAGGTAAATCAAATATTTACATAATGTCATTTTTTCCACAAAGTTTCAATAATGTAATATTATAACTTAAATTTACAGAATCACTTTTACGATAAGATCGTTTGTTTACTTTATTTCTTGGTACGTTTTGTGTACCTAAAATTCAATACGAAAGAATAAAAGTATAATATAACGATAACATTTCTATTCAACATACTTTTCTTTTTCTATTTAGGTTGTTAATGTTAAAATATTTGCATATACGTGTTTAAAATACAATGCAAAAAATTTAAGTTATTGGATCAAAGATGCAGCACATTGAAGTTAATAACAGGGATCATAATTATAGCGAAGTAAAAGTAGATAATCTTCAACATAGCGATAGCAGTATTCAAAATGTGTTTGACAATGATATTAAAGCAGTATGTAAATCAAACAAATTTACATTAGTATCGAATAAAGAACCATTTGGGCAAATTAAAGATATAAACGAATTGAAGAAGATAACACCACGTGTAAAATTATTGGCCCACGATGCCAATAGTTTAAACGAATTAACTAAAATTTCTTTGCACAATAAAATATCTGCACAAAAAAGGTTGTCGATATCGGAGCAAACAAAACAGGAGTTGAAGAAGTACTGTAGAACTTGCGCAGGGTTAAAACTCCCATTGGTCGACATTTTTAGCGAGAAAGGTATTCAAATGAGATTGAGTCAACAAATTAAACACTTGGAAGAAATAAATCCGTACGACAGCTTATCGACTCAAATGTGTATGGACTGTATCTGTGACTTGAAAATGAGTTACAAATTTTTTATGCAAATTAAAAAGGCAGAAGTTAAATTGAAATCTATTCACATTACTCTGACAGATACGGTAGCAAGAAATCTAGAGGTAAAGAAATTGCAATCCGTAACGAATATAGAAAATTCCGAGATGCAAATAGAAAATTTTCTAGATTACGATAGAAATAATCCATCTACTAGTAAAGAACACGACGAACAGATACCCAGAGAAAGAGCGTCTTCAATTTTCTCGCTAAAAGATGAAGAAAACTCTTCGAAAGAAGTCGAGATCATAGACGAGAGTGTCGATGAATCGGAGAATAAAGTTGAAGTTGAGATTTTTGAAGACATGGCAGTTGAACAGGACAGTGACGATAATGAATCTATAGAAGAGTTTGATCCGGATGATCCACCGTTTCAACCCGATACTTCCGATGCCGCGGATTCTGACGATGAAATAGATGTACAAGTACCAATCGTAAGGAGGCGGAATACACAGCAGAAGGAAAATATTATAAAACAACAGTGTTTGCAACCGGTATTTCTTTGCGATAATTCAGTTGCGGATAATGAAAATACAGATTTTAATCAAACAACATATAAATATGATACATCGCTGAACGCGTACATTAAAGTAGAAGACACAGACAGTAGTAATTATGCTAGCAAACCGTATAGCATATCTAAATCTGAAACTATAAATAATAGCGAAAGTACAAAAGAATCGTTAAAACAACCAAACATATTAAAACGCAGGCTCTTATTGCAGACAAAGAAAGACTCTACCGAAGAGACGGATGAAAATACTTGTCAGTCTAATACCTCCGATAAAAATGGAAGTCACAAAGATGTTAAAGTACAAAAGTTAGATCTACATAATCCTTTGAGCATTAATAGTAATCAAGAAGATGGAATTATGTATGTTACTGTTAAAGGTTCTAAACCGAATGAAATATTATTAGTAAAAGTTAAGAAAATGGATAAGGCTTTAGAAAAGAAAGACGATAAATTGGCGGGGGGGAAGAAAAATTTCGATATCAAGCCGATGGAAAAAATCTTGAAGCGGTACGAGACGCTAGTTACAAAAGAGAAGGATTTGTTTCCAGAACGAACAAAAAAGTCTGAAATACGAGAACAGATTATCGAGGAACAAATAGAAGAGTACAAGAAGAAACGGGAGAAGGTATTAGGCGGTCATGCTAATATTTCTCTTCCTTTGAAACTAGAGGAAACTCATACTCGTTACATTAGGCGTAACGAGAATCAAGAGAATCAAAGATGCTCTGTACATACAGGAAGTGATTCAATTGTAAATATACAATTTAATAAACATAGTGATAGCAATGTAAGTACTAAGAAAATTGAAAATGATATTTCAGAGATTATAGAGCCAGTAAAAGAAAAGGCCACTAGCGAGAGAGCATATGTAAATACCGAGGAATATTTATCGCGTTTAGCAAAACTTAAATTAAAATGGGAAGAAGCAAAAAAGAAGAAAGAATCTCTTCAGAAGGAACTGGACGAGTCTTATACAGAAGGGAACATTGAAAAGTTGGCAAGAATTTTGGGAGAAAAAGAAAAGAACCTGCAAGATTTTCAAGATTATTTGAGGCAACGTAAAATTGTAATTACAAGATTAAAGGATAAGGATATTATATCTCTTTACGAGGATAGAAATAACGCGGTGCTTAAAAACAGTTTGCCCGATTTAATAGATGAGACCCAGCCAGCGGATTATATTCCGGAAGAACATTACTTGGAGTGCGATTATTGTCCGGAAACATTTGCTTCTAAAGAGGTGCTCGAGGAACATCTGAAAATGCACGATTATAAAATCATGCATTTTTGTGAGGATTGCATGGAGGAATTTCCAACAAACAAGGCGAAAAGGAATCACAATGTGATTTGCATAAAAAAGTTGTTGTGCAAATACTGCGACGTGATACTAGATTCGAAAGGAAAGAAGCGTCAGCATGAACAAAAACATTGCGACAATATATTCGGTCAACTGTGCGACATATGCGGCGAGAAGTTCAAGCATCAAGGAACGTTGGATCAACACGTGAAAACGCAACACATGAGTTGGGAGAAAATATTTCAATGTCCAAAATGTCCGAAAAAATTTGCGTTCAAACAAAAGCTCAGCTTTCATTTGAAATCTGTACACACGACGCTGAGAGCCTATTTATGCGAGGATTGCGGGGCGGACTTTAAAAATCCGGCAAGTCTTCGACACCATAGAATACGTAAACATCAACCGGTAGGGAATAAACGAGAGTGCCCGGTCTGCCATAAATTAGTACCGTTTTATAGTCTTTCGAAGCATATGCATACTCATAAAGCGTATACCATTCAATGCCCGCATTGCGACAAAATGTTTAAAAATAGTTCAACCTTAAAACAACATGTAAGAATTCACGAAGATCAGCGGCAGTTCCGATGCGACACTTGCGGCGTTGGTTTTAATAGGCGCGATGGTTTGAGATTGCATATGAGAGTGCATGAAAAAACTGATAGCAGAGGGTTAAAGGAATGTTCGTGTCAAGTTTGCGGCGAAAAATTTCCGAATCATTCGACCCTCGTTATACATAGAAATCGAGTTCACAAAGACGGTAGACAATACACGTGTCATATATGTAATAGGTCAATGATTTCTACTAGATCGTTAGAATGGCATATGTCTCATATACACAATGAATCTCTTCCCGGTGTTGTGAAGGAAGACATAGACGGGACACCGGAGAAGAAAAGGGTATCGTGTTATCATTGCAATAAAACTTTCAAAACAGAAATGATTTTAAGAACGCACATTAAAAACACTCATATGGAGAAAGATCCTATGAAGTGTTTAGATTGCGAGTTAACGTTCACTTCTGAAGTGAGACTAAGACACCATATGATGGTGACGCATAATAGACTAGAAGGAACTTTACCCTGTCCTCATTGTCCGAAGAGATTTGTGAATCAGCTTCGATTGAAAACACACATGATATCTCATTCCGAGGAAAGGCCGTACACGTGTGAAATTTGTGGATTTAATTTAAAGACGAAAATTCAGTTGATCAAGCATCATCAGAACAGGCACAGCGACGAGAGGCCTTTACAATGTAGATATTGTCCATGGAGATGTAAACAAGTCAGCGCACTCGTCTGTCACGAGAGAACACACACAAACGAACGACCATACTCTTGTAGCGTGTGTAGACAGCGTTTTAAATACCTCGGCGATAAAAACAAACACGAGAGACGACACGAAAGTTTAGGGGGATCTGGATTTAAAAGAATAGTACCTGGTCGAAATATTAAACCAAAAATGCAAGAAGATTCGTCTTGTTCCGATCAGGAGCAAGAAATTTATGCTAAAACGGAACCCGAGGTTCCCGAGGGCGAGTACGAAGAACAGATAGATCAACAGTTTGAGGAAGAGCAAATAGTTAAGTTCGAAGAACAGGGAATAGTAAAATTCGAAGAACAAGAAATAGCAGAAGAATACGAACAAGTCTACGAACAGGTAAATAGAACTTAATAATAAATTCATTCCCTCGTGATTTCTACAGAAAAATGCCCCCACGCTTATTATTATACCACATGTTTATTTTGTTAGGAATACGAAGAGACGTCTAGAGAAGCCTCGGATGCAGCGGAAGTTATAATGAATATGGAAGACACTACAGTCTACACGGAAGAAGTAACTGCAGATAATATGGAACCTGCCGAAATAATGGCAGACGAAATGATGACGAATGAAATATTACAATCAGGTGCTGTGGTTCATTTGCAACAGGAAGATGATTCCGGGAAAATACAAGTGATTCCGGTTATGCTCTCCTTACCTGATCTATCCGATGCAAATACAGAGGTCAATTTAGCCACAGCATCCATTATGTATAATAATTGAATTTAATATCGCAATTTCCTGCTGTGGTATTAATTGTAAAAAGAAGAGACTTTTAAAAGTTTTATTGCGGTGATTACAGTTTTAAAAGAAAACCTTTTAATTGGGGTAAATAAATAGGGGCTAAATCACATTCCTGTAACTAAAATTATGGACATTCGAAAATGTATATTTCCTTGAAACCGTATCTAGGTTTCAGTCGCTAAGGATACACTGAACATGTACCCCAAAGGTCGTGATAATTTTCTGCTAGTTAAAGCAGAAATTTTGTAAGATTATTTCGCTGTATGAAAATACTTATTAAGATTGTAAAAATGATGATACAACAAATTTTAACTTCATAAATGCTTTTCGCTATAAAATTTTCGTTTAGTTATAAAAACGATTAAAAAATAACTGTACTACGATATAAAGTATTTTGTACAAATCTATAAAGAATGAACATATATATTTTACTTGATAATACATATATAAATTTCATGGTACATATTAATAAAATTGACATTATTCATAACCATGCGTTTATTTATAAAATATGTCGTTCGTGATTCATATTCATTCGTTTTTTGTTACGTTTACTAATTACATTATTTTCTTTTGCGAGTATTTTTTATTTCTTACTTGGTTAAAGCGTGGACAATAATTAGTTTTTACACATTGTAGAGATATTGCATTTTACAGTTGTAAATTATAGTAAGAATAAGAAAAGAAAATCCAATAGATTCTTGGTACTTTGAGTGCGGTTTTTTTTGTAATATATATTAATATAACATACACATCGGAAGAGATATGAATATCAATTTCTGTACATTTCGGAGAAAAATTACAGAATTACAGAATTTTACGTATAACGAAATGGATGCCCAAATACTAGCTCAAGCATCATTATTATTATTAGCATTACTTCATAATATTTTTTTAAATAACAGTGAGGTAAAAATATTCATGTTAATTATAATTCTAAATAATATACGACTAATATTCTTATTATAAAATCAAATTCATTGATATAAGCTTCAGTAATTTTTATACACATACATGATCCATTCAAGAATTTATTAATTTGCTCAAACTATTTTCAAAATATTGTATAATTATTTAAATTTTAAACGGTAGAAACAATTTTCGTTCACCACGCATCACATAAGTTACACATTTTCACAGTTTAGTTTTCTTTCTACTACAAAGCAATTTAATATTTTAACTTTTATTTATTTGCTTATATTATCGAATTTTTTGTCTGTGACTCATACCTGTATTTTATTGTGGCAATAAAAAAAAAACTTGAATGTCAGTTAATTTTCTATTTGATATTTTATAAAGTATTTTTAAGGTATTTACTGTACATATAAACGCTTATCGAATATACATTAAAATTATGCATGATTTATGGATTACAGGAAAATATACATTTTTAAATGTATACGTGTAGTCATAAATAATATATTCGTATAAAATGTACGTGAAAAATACAATTAGGTTTTGTATCTATAGTATAAAATAAAATTAACGTACGCATCGTACAATAATTGTAAATAGATTTGATTTTATCTAATAGACAGATAAATATTGAAATCCCTGTGCTGTACAAGAACAATGTACAAATATACAAATGTATTGCAATATTAAAATTGCACTAGTTTTAGATCTTTTCTTATCTTATTTATTATGCTACAACAGTTGTCAATTTAATTTTACTATGCTAAATGTGTTAATTTCAAATGTTTAATAATCTCTAATGTTTTTACAAATATCTTTTTACTTTTCCAAGTTTTGATAGTATTGTGCCAAGACAAGCCATGCTTTGGTTGACATAAAGCCTTCGGGTGGATTTTCACCTGATTTGGCAAAACCTGTAAAAGAACATTGCAAGTGTTTTCAACATTAAACTTTTCTACCTTTTTTTTAATTAGCACATTTCGTACGAGTCCAATAATATTATGGTTATTACAATCTATACATTTACAACTATGGTACCGAACTGTAATTTTTCCAAATCTTTAAAGTGTATAATAATTACCTAATTATTTTTAAATAGAGTGCAATTGCAATGTGATTAAACGTAATCAGATTACATTTTGCTCAACTCTGAGTGAAACATCCGTGTATGTACGTATGGATAGGTATGTATAGTGTATATGATACATACCACGCATTTTCGTTCCCGATATGAACTCAAAATCTTCTTTCCGCTGTTTGTCAAAGAAAGACATTTTTTTATATTTTTTATCGTATGCTGCAACCTTAAACGGTATAATTTCTAGGTTCTGCAATCCTCGAGCTATTGATAGAACTCGAGCGCCATGAGTGGGATCATAAAGATTTCCATCTGGAACTGCAGTTTTATCGGGATGCGGTATACCGGCTGGATCTCTTCCAACAATGTAAAAATTAGCACCTGCATTCATTCTAGCTTTCGCATGCCATTGTACCTAATATTAAATTAACAGAACTGAATCAAACAGTAATAGAAATATTATAGAAGTTTTTAATGTATGAAATATTTAACTCACGGGTAAGTACGTGTGCTGCAGGGAGCTGGTAAGTTTGCAAATAGGACGAAAGAGGAAGGAGAGAAAAGTTTTCCATTTGATCTACCTATTCTCACCACTGATCATTCAGTAAATAGGACGCGGACTTTAGGATAGAGACCATAATCATCGGGCCCCGCAAACTTACCAGCTCTCCGCGGTATACACACACGCATGAAAATTTACCTCAACCGGTCCACCATACATCATTGGACTTGGAAAAATTGCTAATAACGTAGAATTAGCGTCTAGGACTCCTTCGTTGAGTATAGCCTCGTGTTGCAGAATTCTTGTATGTAACGGTACATCATCATCTTTTGTCCAACCACCCAGGGGATGTAAAAGTAATACAGGATTTTTAAATCCCCTTTCTTCCAACAAAAACTTTTTCGTGTCCTACAAGTAAAAGATCTAAATCCATCCATATTATGTAGGTTCATTTTAAACACTAAATAAATTAATAAACGTACTTGCATTAACAATGCATGACCATTATGTATAGGATTTCTAAGTTGAAACGCAAACACAACGTCAGCTTTCATTTTTTTACATCTCGTTCTAATTTCATTCGGTGTAAGTCTATATTTATCGAGACCATCGTGCCATCTGATTCTTTTAAGAACTTCTATATCACCACCTACCAACCAATCTCCAGATTCGTGAATCATTTTTACGTATGGGTGACCTAAGTTGTTGGTACCAAATTGCCATCCGCATCTTTCTTCTTTCCTGTGAAAGTAAAATCCTGGCCTACGTAATATCGCAACAGCCTTGTTTTTGTATTTCAATGTGAATGCTGAAAGTCCATCCAAACGTTCCTTATCTTCTGTGCATATTGCAAGAACTATTGGAACAGACTGATTGATTTCCTTGTCGCCTTGAAGGAGACATTTTAAATGCTGAGTCTAAAAATATCGTTCAAGTGTTTTATACTTGGAATAATAATACATTAATTGCTTAATAACAGTTTTATGTAATTGCTTCGTGTTTTACAGAACATTATTGCATATACCTGGAGATACTGATCTTCTCTCATAAAACCTGTGAGAGGTGCAGCCCAACCTTCCGCTAAAACCTGGACCCATTGTACATCTATATCACTAATTTCTAAACTTTGCAGAGTACTAGCTTCTAATTTGGCAGAAGATATTCGCGATTCTGGAACGAATAACTCCCGTATCGGTACTATGGATTTTTGCAGCCCCGGTATAATGCATTCTTTCTCTAGAAGATCAATGACCGTAGCGGCCGATTCTTCTGGGGTACAATTTTCCGTGGTCACCACTAAATCAGGGTTTATCGGTCTTTCGTACATCTGATCTATTCCAGTAAAACCTTTAATTGTTCCTTGACGTGCCTTTTTATACAATCCTTTTGTGTCCCTAGCTTCGCATACGTTGAGAGGCGTATCGACAAAGACCTCGAAAAATGGAAGATCCGACATTTTATGAATTTGTTTCGCCAGTTGTCTGTCTTCCTCGAACGGCGAGACAAAACTACATAAACAAATTTGACCGCTATCTGCGAATAATTTAGCTACTTCTGCGACTCTTCTTATATTTTCTTTTCTATCTTCTTTGCTGAAACCAAGGTTACAATTTAAACCACTTCTTACATTATCTCCGTCAAGACCGTAAGCAGCAATCCCATGATTTACTAAAATAGCTTCAACTTGAAAAGCTATAGAAGTTTTCCCTGCGCCGGAAAGGCCTGTTAACCAAACGGTACATCCACGAAAACCTCTTACGCTTCCCACTGCCTGTCCACGTTTTGCTCTTGACACATGGTGGGCTTGCTCCGATATATTGGTACAAGTCTAAAAAAAAAAATATTCTTTATAACATAAAATATAATTTTTTTTTTTTTAATCTTTAGTTACAATTTGTGCAGTGTTTAATATGGCTGAAAAATAAAATCATTATGTTCAATACCAATATGAACATGAATTTTAAACACCATACTAGTTCAAATGATAAAATAATATTGTTTAAAAATTTTTTTTTACATTATGCACATCCATTTATTAAAAACAAAAAATTATCATAATTTCAATAATACATTTACATTACTTAAACCTGGATATCCGAGAAAAAATGTAAAAAAAATAAAAATGTATAGGTATTTTATGAAAATAATATCTATATTTTACATTTGTAGAAACGTGTGTGGATAGGTAGGTGCGTGTTTATGTATGTATGTATGTGTCCGTGCATTGCGCGCGTGCGTGCCTGCATACATTGTACTTTACTAGTATATTATAACTTGAAATATTTTACTTAATTAAATATTATGCATGAAAAATTATTTGTAAAACTTGGTATCGAATTCATTTCGATTATACGTACCGTCATTATTCGTTTGTTTGGAATTTCGATAGTTTCGTTTGACATAACTGTACTATATTTTGCTTTGTATATTATCTATCCACTTCTGCATACGTGGCAATTGATCAGACGAAAGTAAAACTCGTTATATCTTAGATTTAATAAAAGCTACAACTAGCTTTCCATGATCAGAAAACGAATCCTGAGTAGTTCGCGATAAGTACACGTTTTTCAATGGTCGTCATTTATGAAAAATGCTGATAAATTACAATAAGAAATATGTACGTTGTCAACAACCTACAGTTTCGAGAGACTGTTGCGACCAATTGCAAGTACGAAGCATGCACTAACGGTACTAGAAACCTGTTCTAGATACTAGACATATACTAGCGCTTCGGTAAAACATACATAATCTGTTAATAATCCTAATATGAGCTGTTCCTAAATTACATAGGTTTAACATTTCTAGATTTCACTATTTCTATTATCGTTTCAAAAGCAATGTTACAGAATTATTCGCTTTCTTTACGAAATATGTATGTGATTACGCATGTTCCATAATTTATTGTATATCATAATAATATGATAACAAAAACTAAAAGTGTAAAATTTTAAAAAGTTACATATTCTTTTATTCAATATTAATTCTCATCTTTGAAATCTAATGATATTTATGAAGCTTTTCTGTTATGAATGTTTGAATTAGAAACGTTATCTGATCAAAAAATTTTATCAACATAGACATAGAAATTCATTAATTATATATATTATTTCGTATAACATTTGTGTTTTATTGATTTTAAAGTTCTGATTGTTGCTATTTACGTTCTTATTTAGAGAGGAATATGTAGGATAAATAATAATTAGTAATGTTGTATTTTTTATACAAAAGAATCATTTATTTTATATGATTTGCGAATTATTACATGACAAAATTTTAATGTCACTTACATATGTAATAATAAAATAGAAATTTTTTAAATATAAGAATCGTACATATATTATATTTGTTATAAATGCTTTATTATAGTGCTGTACTTTTCTTTCTTGGAAGTCTCGTCTATCATTTGTTTTATATACATGTACGAAGTACTTGGATTATTTGGAAAATAATATACTTGGGTATTAACGATAGATATGTCTTCTGGGTTGCATTCCATAGTTACAGAGTACATAGGTCTTCCGATAGATCCAAATATATCATCTATGTAACCCAACAATGTGTATTTTGTTCCACGCTTTAAAAACAGCTGGGTGCCAAAATACAAAAGACCGTCAGAGGAGAACGGTTTTACAAGCACTACATTAAGTTCTTGAATAATATTGTCAATTTGTCCTGCAAATTGTTCATCTTTTTCTTCATTATATTCTACGTTATTTTGTATTTTTATTTCTTTGAAAAGTTCACTTATCCTACAAAATAAAGTATACATATGTATATTTAAAAATGATATATTATACAGAATGAACTGTGTATGTTAGTGATTCATAGAGAAAACAAGTTGTAATAGTTCACACAGTTCACTCAGAGTATAAACAACGAGTCGCTTAAAATTATAATCTATGTATAATGTTTCTGCAACGAAAGAAGAACAAAGTTGTGTAGAGTGTGTGCATGTTCACATTATGCCATTAGTAATTATAAATATTAAGAGTTAATGGAACTTACTGATTCATCTGTGTGAAGTTACTTCCATTCTTTGAAGGTAATATGTAATCAGATGTGGTTGAAGTACTTGGTTTAGAATTATTTTGGTATTTAGTTCCCATTATTTTATTCATAGAAAAAATTTACCACAAAAATGAGAAATATATTTGTTATATGTTTGAATTTTATGATAGTTCTCGTTTCAAGTCTCTTTGCAACCATTAAGGGTTATGAAGGAGAAGTAAATACATAAATGCAAAAAATGTCCTACAGACAAACAATATTTCAAAATATTGGTATACCTATATGATACATTGAATTCTTAAAAAAAAAATATTTAAAAACACAGAGAAAATACTAGAAATTAATATCTTGCATTTTATTAACTTTAATATATTCTTAAATTAAGTTACAGTCATTTTTATCTTTGACATCGTTGCTTTTTTCATTTATTATTCTTCATTTCCCATAATCCATTTCTAACAAATCTTTGTGCAGCATCTTTATTTATACGTGGCATAAGAGTGATTCTTTCTTCTATTTGTTTCGCGCGTGTCATAGATTTCTTTAAGCGTTCATTTTCCAATCTTATTTTATGCTTTGTCGGGTCAATTCCTAATTAACAGTTACATCGGGTCAGTAAGTACTTAAATAATAATTTAATTAATAATTAAGTTCAGACATAAGAAATATAATATTTAAACTAATTTAAAAAACTAATTTTTAGACAGATTTTCTATTTTATACTTCTAAATTTTTACCTTCTGCACGTAAATACATCCAAAACATGCTGTTTGCACTATAAGACATCAATAGATTGTATTTAATTTTGTCTGCATTTGTAAGTTTTTCATATATATCTGGATCCGTAGCGAGTTTAATCATTTCTTCGATTTTTAATATTCCATCTCGATATTGTTCTAATTTTGCAATTAGATCCTTGTCGTGTGAAAGTTCTTCGAAATTCGTGTTCATGTTTAGCCTAAAAAATCATTTTTTAATCTATTACGTAAGTACACATTAATGTAAATGCTTTTCTTAGAAATCAAATAACTTTTAAAAATTAAATGTCTTCAATCTATTGTCTATGATCTAGATATCTAATGTTTGAAAACTTGCAAGTTGCGAAATATTTTGCCCTCGATAGAGATTATGGTATTTATAGTTTATCATTATTGCAAGCATTAGTAATCTTAAATTATGTAACTACTTTGTAATAGTAAATATTCTTTTACTCGAAAAATTCAAATATGCATCTTTTTCATAGTCAACAATGTATGTATAGTTATAGTACTTCGTTGCTTTGCAGTACAATCAACAATAATTAGACGATATGTTGGCTTTCCCCGCCACTCCATTACACGCTAAGTTGGTTCGTCGTTACTAGTGTCGCGGCGACACTGTCATTATACCAACCTACATGGCAAGTATCATCACAAGCGAATGGTGCTGCCGCCTGTCGCAAGAACGTCATCTCAACCGCTACAATACCCTCGCTCATAAAGATGAACAACGTTACAGTTTAACCTTTCATTAAAAATAAACAAGAAGGGAAAGGATTGAGACTCAGCAGGACTCGTGACGATGAACGACTCCTCGCTCTATGACTATTCGTAACGTCGTCATTCGTTCTGTAGAAATTGGTACGGTAGGACGTGTTATACGAGTAGATTTTACACCTTATGAACTTTCGTGGCCCAATCTGACTGCCATACCGACCGGAAAATACGGAGCTGATTTTAGCGCCCTCTTCTCATGGATGGCGGTCAGTTGAGAAACTATTCACTGAATTAGTGTTGATGAGCAGCCAGCTGTAGCATGTGCGTAAATACATTTGAGTTGACTATGGAAAGGATTGAAATTCATTTCTAAATCTATTGGTAACGTTGCGAGTAACACGGAAATGGTAATGGGTCTCGAGAATCCCAGGAAAATGGGCCGAAAAAATATATTGGGTGAAGGTCTTCTCGTATGCGTATGTCTCGTCTTTGGCAGTGTCTCGATTAACAAGGTACATACATACATATGTATATGTATACGTTTCATTTCTCGACATCTAAATGCTTCTGTTAATTACTGTTGCACTCTAATAATGCCTTCGTTTAACATTAATACATTTATAGTATAAATTGAGTAGGAATTGTAAAAAAAGTTGAATCGGTTTCGCGCGTTTTCTTCGATATTTAACCGGCATCGATCGATTATATCTTCCTAAACGAAATTACATATCTTGTACACACTATTTCGAGTTCAATCATTGTTTAATTACGATTAAGTATGTGCAACCTTGGTGCATTCGATTTTAATTTGTATTTTATTTCTGTTGCAGTTTGTGATTGGAATTTGAATGTAAGAAAAGTTATCAGCTCGCAATCGACGCCATGACACTTGTGAAATTAAAATCGTACCAATTTCAAATGGAGTAATAAGGTTTGGTAAAATTTAATATTTGTATATTATTAAAATTATAAAAATCTTTGAAAAATTGGTCCTCGAACATTGCCACGGATGTATACTTGATATTGTTCGTGCAAACATGCATAAATTAACGCTGAAAAGTTGATAAACGAACGATTAAAGTAAACACATTTAGAGTCGTAAATATCCTGACTTTATTTATTCTTGTGTAAACAAACAACGAAATGGTAAGTTTGTGTTGTATTTATTAAGAAAAAGGAAAAATATTGAAACCTGCATGTCCACGTGAAATTAGTAGGAAAGATGGTTTATCATTTTGTTGGTTTTCAATATTTTCAACTAATGTGCAGCAGACTCGTCAATTTTGAACAATGTATTATATTATCGGGTTCTTTAATGTTTTTTTTGTAAAAGATATGGTTTTTAATTTCTCCTAATATCACGTGGACTGTATCATATTTCAATTTCTCCAATGTCGCTGACATCGAGTATAAACCATGCTCGATTTGGCTTGGAATGACAAGTATGCGCCCGTGCGCGTATATGTATGTATACAGGGTGTTTGGTCAGCCCTGGGAACAATTTTAATGGGAGATTTGAAAGAGTTGAAAAAGTGCAAAAGATGTGCAAAAATCATTGGACATTATGTAACGAAATAGGGGGAAATAGGTATTTCGCGAGTTCGTGTAAAAATTCATATCACGCTTTATACTAAAACAGACAGAGCGATATTGTTGTCGTCACTCAAGACTGAGGTCGGTTTCCATGAAGAAAAGTGTATATAGTGTTTCTGAGCACTATGTTTGGTGAAAGCGAGGTGTCTTGAAGAGATTTGTTCGTCATTGGACTAGTATATTTACCGCATAAAAACCATTCGTTTATAGCTGCTCTCTCGTACGTGAATCCATCTGAAAACACGAGAAAAGTATTTAGGTAGAACGGGACTTGTAAGAACAATTGGTGAATCTGTCAAAGTTTCGCGAAAACTTTAATTTTTAGTATAAAAGAAAAATATGTCGCTGTAAATATTACTTTCGTTATTACCATTACATTATAGTTTCTGATTCGAGAACGTAAGTAATTACTGTTTATGCTTCTTACCGGAGCACAAAACGGGTTCTTTCATTATTTCGTGCGTGATGGGACATAAAAATTCATGAGGTATTTCAGCGCCGTCTATAGGCACTTCTACAGCATTGCTATCTTCGCGTTTCAACCAATACAATTGGGTCTTGAACGCTTCCCCTGCCTGAAACCATATATTCATATTTATAAACGGTACAACAACGTTGTAAACTAATATCAATTAACCACTGTTCTGCCGAGTTTTTTCTCAATAGTCGATCCAAGATGCGCCAACGGTCTCTTATTTTTCTTTTTTAAATATTAGAAGCCTATATTTAGTCGGTAAGCGAGCCTTTGCTATTTACTTGGCGAGTATGTTTCCCGAGTTAACTCGGGCACAGCAATTAAATGGTTAATCTTAAAAAGATCGATAACGAGCGACAGATTGTTTGGCAAATAGACGCACTTGTTCGTCTTGTTCAATTTGTAGCTTTTTGATTAAGTCATCTTCCGATATAGTAAGCAATTGCCGTCCAGTTAGGGCTGCTATGTAAGCCTTTTCTGTTAACATCGATAGCCCTATTTCGTTTAGCCATTTTAAGGTATCGTCGACCCTCCAGTCTGCAACCTGATGCGAAAAATATTATTTTGCGTTTTATGGAACGTGATTCCAGGCGTTCTGTTCTTACGCGAAATACAGGCATCCGAAAAACAGAGATTGAAAACACCAAATCATAACTACGCTTAAAAGTTATAATATAGGGACTTTTTCGAAGCCTAATTACCTATCGGATACCTGTATTTTGCAACAGCAACAGTGGCCAAATTGTGGCGAAATCGTGGTCAAAGTACAGGAAATAGTTGTTGTCAAGTTTGGCCACCACTGCTTCGTAGCATAGTTAGTCGTCGTTTTACCTACCTTATGTCTGTTGTGCCTCAAGTTATCAATCAGGGCATTCTGCGAAATCAGTCGTTGGGGTATTGTCCAAATTAAAATGGTTCTGTCCAAGCCACCTACTCGTTCGAAACAGTTATCGTTAATGAAAGAAAGGTACGATCTAGATCAGGGATCCATAAACCTGAGAAGTTCATGTCCGAAATACAGTGGAATTTTATCAATGCATTTATCCTTTTGTTATCGGAACGTCATTGATATACTTTTGTTACAGAGATATAACATTGATTTTTTCAATATACGTGTTTAGCATATAGCAATATTATAACGTAACACAGTTTGAGAATCCCCGATCTAGGCAATGATCAGTGGCGTGTACCATAGAGGGGGATGCGAAAAAATGAAAAAGCAAAGATGGAGACCTGTAATAAAAAGAGACGTGTCGTCGGAAAAAGCACAGGTAGTTACAAGACTTTCGTGTTCCTCCAGTACGAAGAGGCAAGCACCAGAGTACTAAAATCACATTATTTTCTCAATTATAAAATATGCTGATATAAATAATAAATACCTGGCTGTAAACTGCGATAACTGATATACGGTTTCGTTGGGACATTCGTGTACGTACCACGCTCCAAATACGGGCTGTTCTGTCGGTAGCTACGCTTCCTAGGATTTCGCCTTGATTCGGCGAGAACCGGACACACGTCACATTACCGCCATGTCCGGTCAAAGTCTTTTTCTCTTCGTACCGTATATTGCCGTCGCTGCTTCCAGTACCAGCCGACGTGATCTCACTTTGCTTGTAAATTGTTATTTGCCACAACTTGACCAGTGAGTCGTTACCACTGGTAGCTAGTAGATAGGATTGCTTCTTCTTACTTCTATCCGTCCTTTTTCCTACATTTTAAAACAATACATCGAATTACACCTATAGCTCCATCTAAAATTGGCTACTCGGATGTATACTTGCTATCGACCAGCCTAATTTAAACGCACCGATACCGAACTATATTATTATAGAGGAATCTAATTTGCGGCATTGTTTCGTTAAAACTACCGCTACTACTGTAGTTATCAGCCATGAATATTGGCTGTAGTGTTTACCAGCGATCATGAAATTGTCCGTTGGGCTGAAATCGCATCCTTGGACGCCCAAGTCGTGGGCTTCTTCGCAGACCATCAACGCGGTGCAATATTTGTCGTTGGCGGAGTCGAACAGCATCCAGGTTCCCCCGTTGCAAGTCGTAACCAAATAACGGGAATCATGCGTAAAAGCGATCGCGTTCACTGCATCGGAATGACCTCTGTAAACACTGTTCTATCATTGGATAACTTAACAACGGTCCTGTTGGTCGTAGCGTATAAAACTTTAATCCAATTAATAACTAATTGTTTGAATATTGTATGTATTTTAGTAGTGAAATATCAGACTGTTGAAATGGTAGGAGTATATGCGGATGTTTGGTCGGTATAATTACATTCCTCGCATTTATAAATTAGCAAACAAGTATGAAAGTGATGTACCAAAGTTCGGTCATATTACTGACATCCCACAGTGTGGTCCTTTCGTCATCCCCGGCTGTGGCGATTTTGGTACCGTCCGGTGACCATCGACTCACGCGAACACCCGATCCCGAGTTTACGAACGAAGATTTTATTTGACACCCGTCCTGTGACAAATCAACGAAAACGGGAATGAAGAATACCCAGAAGAATATACCAATAAGAAAGGTAACAACATACATAGTATAAAACGTTTTTAAAACTAATAAATAATGCGCTAAAATATTTATCGTATCGTCGCAATCAGAGGAGATACTCGAGTTGATAAATTTAAATGGGTCAGCCTGTATACGGCCATTACCTCGGTATTCCAAATAATGGCTGTGCCGTCCAGAGAGCAAGACGCGAGCATGCTACCGCAGGGACTAAATTCCACGTAGTTTATACTGTACGTATGACCATCCAGTGGACTGTAAGGTTTTTCTTGGAACGTCATGGTAACGTCGGAACTTTCATCCTCGTTCATTTCCACGCTCCAAACGCGCACCAACTTGTCCCTAAATTCGATAATATACTGATATAATAATTAACGGAAACATAATTTAAATAATTGTATATTTCAATGTACATATAATGTAAAGCCTAAGTTCAAGTTTCTTCGATATCACGCGAATCTAACAATACAGGATGACCCGTACAAAGCGTTACAAGTTGGTTATGGCGCCAAGGTTATTTTAACCCGTGTCGTTTTCTCGTACATCCAAAAAACTACCGAGGAAAAACCTTGAAAACGATTTCCCAGAAAGTTACTACCGTCGAGTGTACTTGTACGTTGTGTACCTTTTCGACTGAAAATTTAACGATATCAATGACTAACCCAGATCCAGAGGCGATCAGATGATTTCCGTAAAAGGCCACGCTGTTTATCACGCCGGGCTGATCCTCCAGCCTTTGAATTAATCGCACGTCGTTAATCGACGTCTCCGCGTTTCTCATTACATCTCGTTCGTGTTTAACGCTCTACGAACGAAGCAGAAGAGCAGAAGATCAACTATGACACGAGTGTTCGTTAAAAATTTTTACCTACCTCTTCGTCCAAGAACAACATAGGCGCCGTGCATCGCGCGAGTTCCGAATCGAGGCACAAGCTACCCGTTAGATCCCAAACAATAACAGACTTGTCGTTGGACCCTGAAGCATCGACAATTCAAAATGGAACGTCGAAGAGAAACGGTTATCAGAAACTTCCATTGGGTTGTCGCGCGTCAAACAATATCGAATTCTTAACGAGAACTTTAGTCGATCAAACGCGTTACACTATTTTTAATCAGTTTTTTAATCAATTCAATATGCCGCCGGTTTGAAACATTTGAAAAGTTTATGAAATCGATTGTTTCGCGTACAACAACCAAATAGATCGTATCGCGGAATTACCTGTCGCTAATAAACTCCCGTCCCTCGAGAACGCACAACACGCTACGTATCTATTGTGTCCTGATAATGTCGCCATTATTCTTCCCGTGCTCTGATAGTTATCAGTATTATATGAAATTAAGAGAATTTATCATTAGCTACGTGTTGGTATTAGAAACAAATTTCAGTTGGGCGTCTTTCGAATTGTTTCGAGCTTTTCTTTTTATCCCTGGTTATTATAGTCGTACCGTTTCCCAGATCACGGCTGTCTTGTCGAGGCCGCTGCTACCGATGTACAATCCATTCGCGCTGAAGCGTACGCAAGTCAACGCACTACTGTGCTTCTCCATTATTCTGCAGATATTTATTTGGGCAGTGAACGAAGCCTCGCATTTTGCCTGCACCGCGGTTACCTCCCACAGTTTCACGCAATGATCGTTACCACAAGTAACTAGTTGATAGAGCTGCGTGAATGGTTCGTTACCTACAAACGAATCGTGTAAGTAGTACTCTCCTATGTAGGAATATTATCAGGCGTATGGAAAACTTTTCCATCGTTTGGATATATGTACATAATTGTTTCGTGTTAGTTTTCGTACGGTACTCTAGGATGTGTTCAGGATGATTTTAAAAAAAGAGACAACCTGTAACTGTAAAATATTTATAACGAAAGCAGTTAACTCGTAAGTATGTACGTGTCCATCGTATTATTTCAGATAGATATCAGTCTCAAATAACGTACAATACTGTCATTACCGGACTCCGTATTGATTAGAAAATATCGTATATGTATGCAGCGAATATTGATTTCAGAGTTATTTAACGTGGCAAAGTTACGCTATTAATTCTCTATGTAAATATCGAAACGTGTGGCGGAATATTTTTTCAAATTTTGTTTCCGGCAAAACAATCGTTATCCTAGAAGTTTTCTTAATTTTGGTTGTGTAACAGCTGCTGGGGTCGTTGATGGAAAGGACAGTTCGAAATCCGTTATTTTATTCATTGTATGTCGAGAATCTAACACAGCTACTATAAACAACTATTATAGAAATGGTGATACGTGATTCGTATTTCATGTTAGGAAATTATTTTACCCCAGCAGGTGTTCAAACATGCTGTAATTACAGGCTAAAGATTTTCTAACTCGTTTCTTTACACTTCCCTCTACATTTTTAAAGTGCGTAACAATTATAGAAGAGCAAATAGTTTTAACTGTAACTTTCATATTATCGATTCTAATGCCGTCAATAAATACGCTGTACGTAAAATTATGTTTCTTAAAATAATAGTTCAAGTACAGTTTATCCTAATTTCTAGAATCATCCTCTTCTCGAATTCAAGTGTCGCATCAAAAATAGTAATTTTACGGTACTTACTTGTGACCTCCTGGAATGTCGAAACATCACAGGAGACGACACCTAAATCATGAGCATCGTCTACCCAGGCAAACGCAGTAACCGATTGGTTATTGGATATGCTCGAGTCGATAATGTCGGCAGTAGAGAACAATTTTAAGACGCCGAAAGTGCAAGTCGTAATTAACCAGCTGGAATCCGGTGAAAAGCATACGCTCTGTATAGCGCCATCGTGTTTTTGAAAACATCTAAATACGGACAAAGATATCGTTTTATCGAAAAGTTGGAGCATTTTCAGGCAAATTATATCGCGCGTGTCGTAATTATCTTACTTGATCAAACTCCTTCGAACCAAATCCCAGAGACAAACTTGACCATTGTCTCCGGCAGTTACGAGTAGCGATGAATCTGGAGAGAATCTACAAACTCTCACAGCTTCTCCGCCCACTTGGACCATGGTGTAAATTTTCGATCCTGTCTGTCGAGGTACAATAAGCACGCGATACGCATTAAAAGCATTCCACGTGATCGTAAATTGCATACGTTTTTCGAGTAAATTATTTCGCAACTATCTCAAGAGAGAAAGAAACGATAATTGCTTATCACTGAACCTACCCGTAAGTTCCATAATAACGTCGTACCGTCTATACTGGCCGAAGCTAACATTGTTGATCGCGGGCTTACTTTTACCGACGTCACTCCATACTTGTGCCCCAACAAAGGTGAGAAATATGCTTCCACGTATCCTCTGGTCGCTCGCCATTGCCAGACCCGAACGCGTTTATCTCTAAAAAAAGAGCCGATTAATGACTATGTAAGATCTCAAATTCTATAAAATATGTTTGAAATATGAGATATGATAAAAATTAAATAAAATTAAAATTTCAAATTACCCTGATCCTGTCACCAATATGCAATCACCAGCAAAATCGACGGTGGTTACGTCGCTCGTGTGAACTGTTAAGGTCTGCAGAGATTGTACATCCCCGATCGTAACGGCAGACATATTGGAAAAATAGCGGCGAGCGATTAAATCCAATCTTATTTATTTATCGACGGATCGCAGCTTTTGATATTTCGTCCGCTGCGTGCTATTCGTGGCACTGAAAATACGTATAAAAGAAAAAGCGGTACGAATGCAGTAAAAACGGCACTTTGCCGCCATTAGATCCGACACCGGTTACAAAAATCTTGCACGCGTACGAACCAACAAATTGTTAATCAAATTCAACTTAATGGGACGGTTTTTAATTAAATTTCTTACTTATAAATTGTATATTGATAATGAATGCGAGTGTTTTCGGGCCGCAGGTTCACTACGACTGATCTAAACATTGTGTGTTTTCAAATAAAATGCGTAAAAGAATGTTTTGTTATTAATTTTAACCTTTAGATTCTTATCGCTTTCTGCGTGTACCGATAGTTTTGTGACTCACTGTATAAGGAAACGTAAAAAAAAAAAGCACGAGACCTTGACATTGATTGATGCACGCGTTCAGCAAACGTGGCTCTATAGTACAGGTCATTTTACGGATAAATACATACATATGTATATCGTAGGAGAACCTTTTGTTTCGTACACTGTAGTTATTGTCATTCCAGCAAAGTATAATGAAAAATTAATCCTCGTCGAATGTAATCGAATGAAGTAACATTGCGCGTGATTATATTGATAACTGATAAAAACGAAGAATGGAACGGCATAGAAATTGCATTTTTTTTATTATCGATTCGTTAAAATTCGTTAAAGTGGAATCGTTTTGCACGATTGATTACAATTCCTGAAACTTTTATTCGAATAATGAGAAATCATTCATAAATGTTTCTGTTGATTAGAATTCTAAAAAAAAGCTAGTTCAATTTCATTATGTCCTCCGGTTACATGGTTGTGCCTTCCATGCTTCTATGTCCTTATACATATTTTATGTGTATGCATCTCTTTATATCTAATATTAAATCATATTTTCTTTTTCATGAAATAGTGCATTTTCTGCATTTGGATCGATCATTTTAATACGAAGCTCTAAACAGCTTTTGCTCGTGTTATAGATAATCTGATAAGTATACATATAATTACAATAAATTCATTTTAGTAAATAGAGGAATTATTGTGCCGATATTTCACTACACGTCTGTCTGTTTAGACTGCGAACAAATTTCAAATTTTGTTTTAAACAAAAACGATCGCGATTGGTATTGATTGCAATCATCTTTTTTCTTTTACAAATGCTCCTTTATATTTGTCTGAAAAATTCTGTCTCGGTGTTCCAAGTATTAATTAAGCGATGGTAATCAAGAAAAGGAAAAAGAAACATGTACTCACGTTATGAGAAGGCACATGTTCTAGGTGTCATTGCTCATTTGGATCTAACATTCGCGCAATGTGCATTCGTTCCACTCACATCACATACTGTGTTGAAAACAGAGAAACGTGTGTAAGGTGAAACATCTGATAGCAACTTTTCCGACCGAAGCTTTTGACATTGTGGGACGCTAAAGCGTTAAACGCATGTCTACTTAGCCGGTAAAATCGATAGTACGAAAATAGAACTCTACCGCGAACAAGTATACCTTTTTCGATTTACCTGACAAAAAGTATAATTAAGAAAAAGAAGTGACAGAAGTAGTCCTTAGATTTGCGGAGCGTGTCGTATTAACTTTAAATTCAATAGTCGAAACTAGCTACATACTATGAATTCTTTCTGACGCTCGATTATTTTACACTTTTAAATTTTCACGACACATAAACCTTATCGACGTTATTATATCTTAACAAGCGTTTTCTTTTCGCCGCTTTTAATAAATACTATAATTCATTCGATTTAAAGATAAAGTTGATGTAAACAACAGATGGTTACGCGATCGGAATTCCATTGGTCCGTCGTGTCGACGTATCAATATTATCATTTATACTTTCTTGTAATTTTTATACGCGTCTAAATACTCATATATTAAACGGTATATGGACTTCGCACACATATTTTAATCAGACGTGCACACACATATATTTAAAATGCACGTGAAACAGGGATCTTCGTTTCAATATCACCGACAACCATTCTCCATAAAAATGCTTGTTGGGGATTTCAACGTGTCGGTGAATAAGAATGACTGCGAAATCATGTTGATGAAAATATTGTTGGTGATTTAAAGGTAACCCCTGTACTTCCATATCAAGGTCGAATGACTACGCGTCCGTTGTTCACGGACGAACGTTTGAGTTGAAAAGCTTGCAATTAGTACGATCGAGGCGCTCGGTTAGTCGTGTATGTATGTATATACGTTAGAGTAGAGCGGCAGATACGTGTGCGATTTTCGGTTCGTATTCGATAGCAATCAAGATGGTAAGTATCAACTTGCATCGTCTTCTTCTATTAATGGCAATATTTAAAAGGTAAACAAAGGTAGAAGGCAATTGATTTGTGTTTACAGGCATCTTACTCGGAGGATCAGCTGGCAGGTAAGTGAACGCGAATGTGATTTCTTCTGCAAGAAGCAAAGTGAGATCAAAGAGGGGCGGACAGTTTTTTCTCGGTGCTTAATTCAGGTCAAGAATATCGTTACCTTATTAGACCCACCCTGGTGTCACAGACTTGCGTGTCGGTGATTACCTTTTATGGTTAGGTACTTCAAAGAAGTACTAGCAGAAAAGAAGAAAGCAAGACAGAAAGTGAATAGCATCGCAATCGTCGCGTCAGTTCATACCTTCATGTTCCTTTTAAATTCTTTTCAACTTTACTTTTAGCAATTATATTCATATCAAGCACAATATATATTGCATCGCGAAGCGAGTTTCAAGACTTGTCGGTTCTTTTTACCGTCAGAAACTGGAGAAAGTGATACACAGCCACGACATATTGTCCTGTTAGTTTCTTTTAAGTTTTCGTCGGTCGTTGTTTTCGTTATTACATCTCGCACATTATCGCCAACAAGAGAAACTTGGGCTTATTTTATATATATTATACTGTCCACGACAACTTACTTTCGATCTGTTGTTTTTTCCTGTAAATATATAAAGTGCAAAATGTATGGGTGTAGTTATCAAGAACTGACTAATAGAATGATGTCATCGATCGAGGGTAAATAAAGTTGCTGTTTGTGAAATATAGATGTATCACGTTTCGATTTTAAATTACAAACCAGTGTTTTTTACTATTTATTTAAAAGTTTGAGTGCCAAGGAACACAATCTATAGTAAGCGTATATTCTTACAACCACATCCAGCACTCGAACGATTAAATAAATTTCCATACAAAATATATAAAACTTTCTTACTGTTATTTACAATGCCAGTAATTAAAGTTCTTGGTGCGTTATGACAGAATTCCAAGAGGCATTCCAGCTTTTTGACAGCCGAGGGGATGGAAAAATTCATGTATCACAAATTGGAGACGCGTTACGAGCACTTGGGCAAAATCCAACCGAATCGGATGTAAAGAAATTCACTCATCAACACAAACCCGACGAACGTATTAGTTTTGAAGTGTTTCTACCTATTTATCAAGCTATAAGTAAATCTAGAACATCCGATACTGCGGATGACTTTATAGAAGGTTTACGTCATTTTGACAAGGATGGAAATGGATTCATCTCTTCTGCTGAACTAAGACATCTTCTAACAACATTGGGTGCGTCAAATAAGCGGCTTCTATTTGCGACTCAGCTTCGTATTACGGATCGGAAATGAATTTTACTATTTCGGCAAATATTTATCTTGTTAAAAGTTAATCGTATGTTTACCTTATATTAGGTGAGAAACTCAGTGACGAAGAAGTTGAAACATTATTGGCTGGCCATGAAGATTCACAGGGTAATATTAATTATGAAGATTTTGTTCGCCAAGTCATGTATGGATGAACGTGTATATTGTGAGAAATCATATTACAGAAAGATTTCTGTTTGTTAAAAAATTTCTTCCAAGGTTCAATTTTTTCCAACGTTTTTACACATTACATTGTCAGTATTTACCATCTAATGTGGAAAAATTTAATGGTTAATAGTTTTATTGGAAGCTGGGAAATATTGGTTTCTTAAATTTAGTTTCTATTCGAACGATTGAAAAATTTGTTATGCATCGATCTAAAAGTTATATGAAAATGGAATGCATAGATTAAAATTGAAGTGAAATCTAAAGACAAAATGTCGGCAATACGACTTACACAGCTTTTAACATAGACATTCCAAACCTTTTCTTATCGTTTTTATACATTTTATAGAAGGCAATCGAGTATGAACAATCATTCTGATTTCATAACTATAGTTACTTTCTTATCGAGTATTTTTTTCCAATTTAAACGTAATAACTATTTTCTGTATAAATACATAATAATGTATAAGGTTATGAAAATGTTGTATACCGAATAAAATACAATTTTTTAAAAATTAAATTTAGATTAGTTCTATGTTTAATTATTATTGGAAAGAAAAACAAACGATACATAATACATAACTAGAAGCAATTGGTCTAGAACCTTTTAAAACAAAGTTCAATCGAAATTAACGATAGTTAAAAAAAAAACAAAAAAAGATTCATAAATATATTACTTTTAGATACACGAAAATTTCTATTTAACGCTATAGCGGGAATACTGTAATACGTAGAAAAATATATACAGATATATTGTTAATACTGTATGAATAAACGAATTGAAGCCTGAAAGACGACATGCAAGATCTATCGTAAAATGATCGCTTTCTAAATCTGTAACACCATAACGGAAACAATATTGTGCGGTGGTGTGTCCTGAAAAATGGCTCGTCCTTCAGGATCTTTATATATCAGAAGATCGACGTCCATGACGCTTTTCAATCCCAGTTTTTCAGCCGACTTTTTCGAGTACACGGACGTGTATACCCCGAACACGAATCCAACATCCTTTAGATTATGTTTCGCAAATGATATTCCTTTGGTCATTAGTGCCTTTGAGAGGCCCCTTCTTCGATAATTTTTCTCAACAGCAACCGCGTAAAATTCTACGGCGGCTTTTGAATTTGGAAACTTTCCGTACAAATCAGCTGTCTCGCTGATCTCGGACAAATAATCGAAATACTGTTTCATTAATTTCGTTAGGGGTGGATTGGCGGCAAACGCAGCGGAAACTCCGTCAACATTGTTGTCGAACGTTGAGTTTCTACTGACGATCATTAGATTCACGCCAATTATATTTTCGGTCGATTTTTCTAAAGCCATCAAACAAGGCGAAAAAGAGAAGATCGCCCGTATCAATCGTTCATGGTCGATCCACATCGATTCCACCTCCTCCCTTGTTCTTGTTACTCTTGTTAGTGGGTTATTGTCTCGCAGACTTTTCAACATAGTCTCTTCTTTATCAAAATTTTCATGTAGAAACGATAATACCTTGGGTAAGTGTGACTCTTTCGCCCACTCAATGGTATAGAAATCATCGTTCGATTCCATTTTTAATCTGATTCTTATATTTAGCTATATGCTATATTGGTTGATTTCTTTTCTATTTATATTTCTATTGTTCCTTGGAGCCTTTTCACAGGACGATACTTGAATGCGATATGCGTATGATTGGATATCGATCGTAAGTACATGCAAACTCAATAGGAACGTTAAGACAGTAATTCTTGTAGACTGCGCTGACAATGAGATACAAATTTTCAACATGTATTTCATTCTCAAAAATAGCATCATAGGTATATCTTCTACTTCTTACTAGGCATATACATATATATGATATATCACTGGTCCGTTCAATGGACCAATACAACTCGTGAAATCCGCCCTAAACATTAGAGTTTTACGTTCGACTCATTGTCATTGGTCATTTTTTCGTAATTAAGAAAAATATTCTAATGTATAGGTAGAAAAGTTGTATAAGAAAACGTCGTGTTATTATCAAGTTCTTTAAGTAAATATAATTCTAATATTCGTATATGGCCTATTTTGCGACTAGTTGTATATGCATCCATTAAAGAATCACAATGGAAATGTTATTTCTAGTCTTGCTATACGATATTATCAACAAGAGAAGTTAATATTAAGAACTACTGTTTGAAAATATATGTCCGTTACCGTATTTATTCAGAGTAGAGCGCATTTTCGTCCGGGTTCTGTTGTTAGTCGTGTATAGTTAAGTTTATTGAAATGTTTGTTTTGCTGGACGAGGTAAGTAAGTAAGTACTTATATGTACTAGGTTAAATTTCAGTTGCGTTTATAGAAGCCGTATTTTCGAACACGCTTTCTTGGTTTCGCGGCAGAGCGCGCGGAACGCGTGCGCAAATCGGCCGCGACAAGAAAAATAAGATGGCCGACCAGCGAAACAAATAGAGCGCCGTTGTAAATAACAAACCGTCCAAGCACGTTCCGTGGAGAAGTTTTCGTCGCGACGTTCGCGATGCACAGCGCCCTGTGATCACCTCTCGGTGCTGTCATATTCATATAACCAGGACGCGAACCGTCCACGCGGCAAGGAACCTGCGACCGCGGTCACAGCCACAAATTCACTACCGTTGAATGCGTCACGCGCGTACACGAGCATCGAGGAACGCGGCTAAAGAGGCAGTTCGAGCCGAGGATCATCATCGCCAGGATGCAATTGCGAAAGCGAAGCTACCTTGTGCCACGTCCTCACCTACGACTCGCCTAGCTCCTCATGCTAGTCTCATCTTTCGAACTGCTTGGAGCACAGCATGAAGGAGATGCTTGGAGGGTGCTGCGTGTGTTCTGACGAGAGGGGTTGGACTGAAAATCCGTTGGTGTACTGCGATGGCCAAGGTTGCACCGTTGCCGTACATCAAGGTCTGTTCTCCGTAGAATACTGTGCGAACAGAGCATGGTGCGATCAGCTGCAAGATGCTATCTTCAAATTCTTTTTACAGCTTGTTACGGTATCGTTACGGTACCGACCGGACCATGGTACTGCAGAAAATGCGAATCACAGGAACGAAGTGCACGCGTGGTGAGTTAAACGTTGATCTTGCAGCCTGTGTTTATATCGTTTTTTTGTGATCTTGGATCGATTCAAGACACACCCGTCTATAAGCAATCATTGTTGCGTTCGATATTAACGTTTCCCTATGTATTACGATAAATATACCAAGAAGAATGGTTTTTATATCGGCGAAGAGATCTATTTAACATAGCGTAACGTCTCTGTATATTTGCTCGACAGCGTTGTGAGTTGTGTCCAAGTCGAGACGGAGCTCTTAAGAGAACGGATCAGGCTGGTTGGGCACACGTCGTTTGCGCGCTCTATATACCAGAAGTTCGTTTTGGAAATGTGACAACAATGGAGCCAATTATTTTGCAACTTATACCGACGGAAAGATTTAGTAAAGTAAGGAGATTGTCGATACAGTTTTATTTTCTACTTTGATAAAGAACGTGACAAATATTTAATATTTACATTATTTGATACTTTAGTCGTGCTATATCTGCGAGGAGCAAGGAAGAGGTAGTAGAGCAAATGTGGGAGCCTGTATGCAATGCAACAAGACAGGCTGCAGGCAGCAATTTCATGTTACGTGTGCGCAGGCTCTTGGCTTGCTCTGCGAAGAAGCTGGCAACTATCTTGATAACGTTAAGTACTGCGGATATTGTCAGCATCACTATTCAAAATTGGTGAGTTTTAGTGCCGTTTGATAAATTGTTATTTATCAACTTATAGACTTAAGTAACAATTTCGTTATCCAATATTCAGAAAAAGGGTGGTAATGTAAAAACTATACCACCTTACAAGCCAATACCTGCTGATAATGGCTCGTCAGACTCGTCTCCTGAAAAGGAAGCAGAAACACCAATAAAATCTTCGTCAAGTGGTAAACGAAAGAGTTCAAGTTCCAAATCCGCTACCAATTCTAAAAACAAATCTAATACTAGTCCAAGTCTAGAAATAAATGGCGTTGCTGACGACAAAAGCAGCAGCGGTCGTAATACACCCAAAGACAACACCACAAATTCCAGTAAATTCACAACTTCCAACTTCGTAGAGACAATCGTCACCCAATCGGAGAGTGTGTTTGGACATGACGGCACTACTTCCACTACTACCACAGTAGCCGGTGCGACGGTTAAATCGGGATCGAACTCGAACTCGGGCCACAAAAACAGTGGCCAATTGAAATCGAATTCGTCGTCGTCGAACAAGTCCTCGATCCACAGTAAAAAGAGAAAAACCGGAGCACGTACGCCAACGGTGATAGGGAATGAAAACTCGAACCAATCGGTCAGCTCAGAAGCCAGCGGTTCGGTCGTGGTTGCTGTCAGTTCCGTTGTACAGCAGGCGGTTTCGAGCAACAATGTAGTACAGACAACCATAACAGAAGCCACGAGCCTGAGCACAACCACCGAGCCAGAAAAATCGAAAAAGGTAAACAAATTTCAAAAAAATACAAAAGAAATTGAAAATTGCTGATGGAATACCATTTATTACTAAACGATAATCCACCAGTAATCCTCGCTAAAATCAATAGATTAAATGTAAAGGAAAAGTGGTCTGATGTATGGAGCAATCATCAAAATTATTCGTCCGGGTTTGGAACATTAATTAAAAGTGGTTACAAAACTAAGAAGGCATTTCGTCTAGGTTTTGCTGGTGGAGTCCGTCGGTAAGGCTGACCCAGCAAACCTTGCTTTAGACGCGGCTGAATGTGCAATAGACTCTGGTATTTGAGTTGTTAGAAATTTCCAAAAAATTTCACGCTGTATTATAAAGCACTGTACGAGAGTACTAGTCAAATCTACGGTATCTTTGTGTTTTTATAGCTGAAGGTTGAGAGCCCTATTCAGTCACTGTCCAACACCCCAGTCAGTACCGAATCAACTACCACACCTGTGATAATGGCTGTAACGCAGTCCCAATCCTCGGTTGTTACCCAGTCGCCGACAACTACGTCGAACAGCATAGTCGTCTCCGTTCCATTAACTGCAACCTCGCTTCCTAATACGGTGCAGAGCGTAGTAACGAGCGCTCCTACGCTCTATCAGCAACTGCAACAGAGCATTATTACTACCGCGGCAACCGCCGAGCTAAGGTCCAGTGCTATCTTAAATTCGGAGAGATTTACTCCGGAAGAAGCTCCTGCTAAGAGATCTCGGTAAGCACAATATCACAAATAAACTTTATACCTCGTTATACAATTTTACTGACAAAATGGCAACTTTGCACGAGAAAAGAACAATAATAAGAACAAACCGCGAAATCGTTTAAAGGTTCGAGCCAAAATTTCGCCCGAAACTGTTTCATGAAAGTTACATTATCTATCATTAACATTCAATATATTATTCTTATCAATAATTCATCACATCATATTTTCCATACGATGGTTATAAAATTCAATAACACTTTTGATGAATCAACACACACCTTTTAATTGCTTCACGTCGCACTCGCGAGGGTACGATATCTTCATCGAGGTATTGTTAACGAATGAACACGGAATTCACAAGTACTATATGTACATATATGTATTTCGTTTTACACACAAATGAAAATAATCCGAATAGGGATATGTTTCAAATCATTTTAATTAAAAAATAGCTCATCAATTTTTGTCGGTTGCCACCGATTAGCTTTTGTTGGCACAGTATGTATCTAGTCTCTCGCGTTGAAAAAACAAAAGTGGAGATTACTTGACGCTTTCCAGCCGGGGAGAACATTATGGTATTGAAACGAGGAGCTACTGTACTTTAAAAATATTAATCATATAATAGGGCACGAGTTTCATTCGGCTTATTTTCCTGTAAAAATAATCATATCGATGTAAATGAGCGTGGTAATTTCAAACATTCATTTCACGTTGTACAAGGCGAATAGAGTAATGCACGGTTAAGTTTCCACGATCTCGTCCATTCAATGTCTCTCGAGTTGAACGAAATTTGACCCAGCAGAAAAGGAAAGAAAATCAGTAAAACGAAAGGAAGCAAGACTTCCTCCTTCATTTTGACCAATGACCGAATAAATGATATTTTTCATTTTTCAAATGTATTTTCTTAAATATCATTTGCAATAAAAAATTAGGTAAAGAATGTCCCCGATACGCATCAATATTGCGTTCTATTTTAAACACGCGCCAAAATTGAGCGCATCAAATCAAAATGGCTGACCATTGGATAAACAAGCCACTTTGTTTCTAACCTCTTTGCGCGTATCGTAAAAATGGTCCAGGTAGAAAAATTTTATGGTCTATGAATTTACGGTACCGTGGTAAATATCATTTCACCGAGGTGCAACTGCTTTCTTTGAAAACGTTGGAAACCATTGTGACATTCGGAAGATGTTTACGACAACGTCGTGCTACGTAAACAGGAAAAATAATTCGAGACAATTTTTTTAATTATTTCATTTTCATACGACGCAAGTCGCAAGGGAACTTGAGAAACATGAAATTTTGTGAACAACTGTGATTCTGTTAGCGTTCTTGTGATTCGTCTGTAGCTTTAGGGATACTTTGAGGTTATGTTTGTTTTTTCTACCTCAAGGGGCCTCAAGGGCAACGAACGAAGGAAAGGAGTAACGTGATGTTATAAATGGCATTAGCACAACGGTCCGTTTATATTGGTTCTTATACAGCAATGAATTTCATAAATGTTTGCGTAATTTATTGGTTTAGCGTAAGCGTATAGCTAGTTAGTTGGATGAATTTCAGTCTAAAGTGTATCGTCGTTTGAACATTTAGCATTGTATTATTGCCGTCTGTTACGAATAATGTGGTTTACATTGTATCCTTTAGCCGATATAACAAAGACCTGATTTCTAATCATGAACGTGAATATGTATTTTTGTTGGTTTCTTAGCTCTCAGTCGTCAGATAAACAGGAAAGAGCACGCAAACCAAAGCGTGGATCGTCGAATAGTCAACCAGCACTGCCACAGTCACAGTCACAGTCACAGTCACAGTCACAACCACCGCCGACAGCTTCTTCCGTAGTAACGTCGGTATCTAGTAGCTCCGCGGTAACAACGTCTAGACGGGGAGGAAGAAACAGTCATCAGACTCCTCCACCGGCTGCAACCGTAGCACCTGTACCGTCTATTATTCAAGGACCCACGTTAAGCGGTGGACACTTTAGCAGCGTCAATACTGGTTTGGTTAATACAATGGGCCCTACCGTGAAAGAGTCCCCTCCGAGCAGTCCAGGATCCGAGAGTATGAGCAGTAATGGACCAGGAAGACGAAAGAGGAAAAGTGCCAGTGCAGCCTCTACAACGCCTACACCTTCTGCATCCAGTACTCCGACGCTTACAAATCCTAAAGAAGAAAAAGATGTAAAGCTGTAAGAATCGATGTCGATTGTTACCGTAATATTGTTTCTCCATGTACGCGTGTTAATTCAGTTTCTACAACAGGTTTCAAAATGGAGTTAGTGCACCGCACATGTTAGGAAATCAATTGAACCCAACTTCAACGATGGCGCAAAAGATGTCGGACACCCTGTCACAAGAGCTGGAAGCACATTCTATTTTTACAGAAGCAAGTAATTCTACAACGAATTTAGTCGGCCCCCAGCTACACAGTCGGGTGATCGCATCTGTATGTATCTTTGAAAACGCACGAACGTTTGATCAAACATTCGTTGAACGAATGATATCGGAAATAGTTTAGTTTCGAGTTTTCCCCGACCTAATTCCATTCTTGATTGTTTCACAAGCAGATACGATCCAATCAGACAGGTGCACCGCCTACGTCGTTTTCTTCAGTTTTTAATACGGCAAGCAATACCAATCCTAATACCAGTACCAGTACTATCGGTGCTGGGTCCATTACCGGTTCACTGGGAGGCGGAGCAATACCTCAAACACTGGATCAACTTTTAGAGAGACAATGGGAACAAGGAAGTCAATTTTTGATGGAGCAAGCCCAGCACTTTGACAGTGAGTGTACGGCAAAAACATACGCTTTTAGTCGCATGGGCTTGGTGAAAACGGGGGATTTTTTCTCTGTATTTTCTTTCAAGCATATAATACTTTTGCATGAATTTGTTTTAAATCATTTACTTTCTACTTACTATTAGTTTTGTATTCTGTAAGATAATAAAATGTAAAGTACATTGCTTCCCGGCTAGTAAGGCTTAACACAGTTATCATCCCATATGTATAATAAATGAGATTAATCAGACTATGAAATGCTCTTTACAGTCGCTTCTCTACTTTCGTGTCTTCATCAATTAAGAGCTGAGAACCTTAGGCTAGAAGAACATGTAAATAGTCTTTTACAAAGGAGAGATCACTTATTGGCTGTGAACGCTAGACTTGCTATTCCGCTGACAACTCAGCCTAGTACGCATCCAGGTAATTTCTATTCTAATTTAGTTGCTAATTCAGTCTTTTGCTATTTAATTTAAAACTTGATGCGAGGAATGTTTGCGTCCTCGTGTCTTTCTCCTTTTCATAAATGTATGGCATATTTTCGTAAATGTATCGATAACGGAGTTGTGGGCCGAAACAATCACGCGATATAAATTTGCGCATTGCTGGCTAAAATTGCTAGATCGTTCTAATTTGCGATTTAATTTGATGGGCCGATTTACAGCAAACAATATACATCCGACTGTTAATCCGTCTCATCCCAACGTTCCACATCCCGACGTTCCGCCAGGAGCCGCGGCTCCCGTTCCGAGAGTGAACCGCGAACCCCGAGTAAATAACACGTACATGCCTCATTCGAGTTCGAGTAATCATTCGGCAACGTTGGAAAATGGTTTACCGCCGGATCCTTCACCCCCAGCCGCCGCGTCTCTATCTCAATATCAACACCGGACTTCGTTGGTTGCACCTCAACCTAGTTCAACGATCAGGTAACGAATCTGTTTACAGGGTAAACTCATAAATACGGGTATTATAATATCTATCTTTTGCTGGGATGATTGGGAACAGACACAGCCCGGCGGGAACCGCGTACCATCAGGGCCAACCAAGTAACATAGTGTCCCCGGCACCTGCTAGCAATTCGGGAGTTGTCAGAAACTCGTCCGTTACACCAGATCCGTTGCGTGGAGTGCCAAGGTGGACATTTGAAACCTTTACAGCTCTACTTTTCCTCTTCTCTTTTAATTTCTTTTCTCTCTCGTATCATACATACATATACACTCGCACACGAAAATATTTGAATGCTTACATGTACATACATGTACAGATATGTACATACATAGAATACACTTAACCTCTAAACTTTCGTAATCCTGTTTCGGTACATCTTTCTAACGAATATTATATTATATTTCGAATATTATATTGTGTGTGATCTCGATACTTGTACTTACCAGGTGCAAGATTACTTTCTGGACTTGAGTTTAATACGCATGTTTTCGTTGTTTGAAGTTTTAGTAGCGAGCGAGCGTTCGAATACCTTCGTATGTTGTAACTGTAGTTTGTTAATTATTTTTTTTCAACTCGCAATAATTTCCGCTGTTACCTTTTTTGACAGCTTATTGTCTTTCAGGTCAGTTCCACAGACGTTGAGCAATTACATGCCTTCCATGTACCAATCCACTATGTCCAATCTGACAAATAATCAAGTAGGTAACGTTCATAACCTTCATTCTCATGGACCTTCTCCACCCAGCCATGGACCACCAGGGAAACCTAGCTGAAGATAGATGCAAACAGGAAGTAAAGAGAAGCGTGGTGCATCCGTTGACAGACGTGGTAGTGATGAAGCTTGATCATCAACCGAGAGACGTGAGTACGATGGTGAAATCATCATCCGTAGAAATGGAGAAGGAATTCGTCGAATTCCATATCTTCGCGATCAACCCGATCCGTGTTTTGTCGCTTAAAATTTACTTGGTGTGGACCTCTGTCCGGTCTCTGCTCGATTAAGCGCGATCGATCAGTAGCTCTATATGATTTAGAAAAGCTTTTAGACAAAATGTAATACCGTCGATCGGAAAGAATCCGCGTTGCATTTATCTATCGTTCGATCGTTATAGAATTCATGGTTCAATTAATTTATCAATTATAATGGGACGAATAGCGTAGTTTATTCTAAATACCATGCATTTTTATCAATATGTAAACCGAAATTTTTTTTATATGACGTTGATTCGAATGATTTGATCGCGAATTGCAGTGTACGAAACGTATGAAAAATTACGAACACGGCAATTAGAGGTACCTATCGTCCTTCCACGAGAAGAAGGCACAGGCGTGTGCCGCATCCCGCCGATCGCTTCTCACCGATCTTCGTCACGCCGACTGCAACAGGAGTGGGGATGTAAACACTCTGTGCTTACGTATCGTGGAAGAACGGTAAGTTAGAAACGAAAAAGACAGGCATTTTAGATCGTTCGGTTTATTTCGTTCCTCGTTGGTTGCGCGTCGTCGAGCACGTCTGGGACACTCTTTCCATCGTTGGCATCATGATGAAAGAAATGAATTAACGGGAAATCCGCAGATGTACAAATCTTAGACTGTAAGTTAATCTATCGCGACGAGAATAGCAATAATATTTACAAGTAGGTGTACGTTTTAACGAAAGATAAACCGCGTGTGAGTATATGGAGGTACGACAAAGTTCATCCATCGTTTTATAAAGAGGCATTTCTTGCAAAAACATTTCATCAACGTCGTACGGCTTTTTTTTTTCATACGCAGCTTACGACGTGCGAAGACGAGGATTCAGGACATGGAGGACGTACAGTGCACGTTAAATTCGGTAGAAAATGCTTGGGAACGCGTCGAATAAAACACTCTGTCGGATCTAGTACCAATTATACAGGGTGAGTCAATAAGAACTATTATCGAAAATAATTCGTTACGTGTTGATCGCGTCGAAAAACATTTTAACCCTTTAACTACGGTCGAAAACTTGTTCACGCTATGAGCAACATAGCGATATACAGCTGATCGACCGACCGCCTATTCGTAATCAAAGGGTTAAACGAATTTTCTTGTATTTGGAAAGACTCGTCAAACGGATGTATAGCGACGTGCAAAAATTTCCTAACAAATAGTTTATTTCCTTTACTTTCCAAAAACAAAACCTGAAGAAATTTCTATTATTGTACATAGGGGTACATAGGGGTACATCGTGTAAAAAAAAAATACTCCAAATAAGGCGAGAGTTTTTTATACTTTCATGCGTTTGTATTTGAGAAATTACTCGGCCAGCAAAGGAAATAGTGATCGTAACTCATACTATTACAGTTTTGGGATAATTCAGTCGACATTTTATAATCGATGGCAATCGTGTCTTTGACAGCGACGATAGCAGCACAGGAGCAACAAGATTAAACGCATAATGCGATTAATAAATCTCATTCTTTTACGAGAACTTGCAATATTCGGTTTTCTCAAAGATTCCTAATTGGATATTCGAGTCCATAAATTGGCTTAGGGGGGTGTTGAATTCCAGTATATGGTAATAAATAAACTTTTAAGTTTATCGTGCCCGTAATTTCTACAGGTTTTGCACTCCGAATTAACCCTTTTCCAGAGATCATACTCACCTTTTTTCCACCAAATAAATTAACTCTTTTGCGGATGATGTTCCCCCTTATTACAAATCATATTCACCTTATCGCGAATCAAGTTTCGGGATCATACTGTTATTTACCATTTTTATTTTGATCCGATAACTTCACATCGGATTTTAAAGAAATAAATTTGCAGAGAAGTTGATTCGCAAGAGGATGAATTTGATATCCGTAAAGGTGAATGCGATCTGCAAAAGGCAAACTAATGAAAAGTCTAGAAACACTTTGAAAGGTATAAAAAAATGAAAATTCATCGAATCTGTTTCCAAACATTTACGATACGATGATCGATAATCGCTGCTCTAGGTCCTGAGTCCTTTGACTCGAACGTTCCGCTGACTCAAATGCCATACTGTTAATTTTGTTCGAGAGATCTCTTTGCAGGCACCGCTATCGACAAAAGTTACACCTTCGATAAGTAGATTGTAATGCGTAATCGACCTGTCTCACAGCCGGACGATGTATATTCTAATCTTATACATAAAACATACTACTTAGATGTACAACACGAGCACTGCCTTCCACCAATAAAACGTCGCCGTGGGACAGATCGATCAGGATGTTCTCCTCTTCGTAACAAACGTATAATTGTTTTTACTTTAACATGGTTCTCGATTGACTGATAGAGCCGTAAACGTGAGCTGCGGCAACCGTGCCCGCTTATACCAGAGATCATGATTTCGAACGTGTATTTATATGTTACGTTTATTGTAGATTTGCCACAGGCAAAAATAACAAATAGTCCAATTTCGTTTAAACGCGAGACGATCAGCGTCGAGCATTATTCCAATAAAATTTCAATCAAACTTGAAATTAAACTTTTATTTACCCGTTATTCGCGAATCACGTTAATAAGTTTATTCGTTGTTAACGATAACTTGTGCCCAACGCTATTCTCATCCGATATTCGACTATTTCGTTAGACGTAAACGATCGCGAGAAAGGAAATTCTAGATACGTTAACGCGCGTGAATTGGTGTATTTGAAATGCACGGTGAAATAGAGATCTCTGGCTTGTACGTTTAGGTTTATTCTCGAGCAAAGTCGAGAAGCGTGTTTCGCGATTGTACATTGTAGATTTTACACACGTTTCGTTGGCGAACAAGCGGGTTCGTTTGCGATTAATTTTTGTTTCGTTGTTAGTATCTCTTGCCTTTCTCGATGGCACCGCACACACTTTACTCGAATCGAAGGCGACAGTCGCGATCCATGTCGCCATCACTTTAACGATAACCGTATGCTAGACGCGTAATCAAAACTTGTTAGAAGAGTACACGAAGCTGTTGGGGAGAGTCGAAGGGTGGTGGTAGGACTTTAGCTCGAGAGACTACTAGGGGCTATATGGTAATGTATGACAGAATTTGGCTCGATCGTTTTTATCCATCGTGACGGAGCGGAGGCGGTGATTAAAAATAAAAAAAACAGCGTGTTGCAGGTGCGCGCGTGTCTGAGTACATATTTCTAACGAGAAGACTAGTTAGTTAGTGTTTCTCTTTTATCGGTTCGTTTCTACTGAACATTTTCTAGAAGATAAACAGCGATTTAGAATAGAGGCGAAACATCGGGCAGAAATCTGTCTTTTCGTTTCGAAAGGTATCCGAATTTTACAATGAAGAGAATAATTTTTTCTTTTGTCACTGTCTGGCTGGCTGGCTAACGAGCCAGATTATTTAAATATTTTATTTTATCGTTGGTAGGAACGAAATTGTTTTAACAAAAATGATTTACGTTTACCGTATTGTGTTCGTTGTTTTAATAGTAATTCGAGGAAAGACGATTTCCGAACGGTGTGTACGTTGTTTTGAAGATTACGTGAGAAATCGAAAACTCGGTTGAACGTGTAAATTTTGTAAAGCTGCGCCGAGACTTTTCAGGCTCGTATTATACGATAACGATAACGTGTATGCAATTATAAGATGGTAGTAGTGGTAGATCGTGAGGACACCAGACCTTCGGGATAGCTCGTCACCACTCAGGGAAAATCGATTTACTGTACAAAATTCTGTCGAGTTTTCTTCGCGTACGTCGATTGTGTCGAGTAGGGAAATTCTAGCCAAATTTATTGTACATCTTTGGCGGACAACAAATTACATTATACATATACTCGCAGCTATTTTGTGATAAAATAGTGATTTTATACAAACTGTTCCTAACACGTTCACTATTCTGGACCATCGAGTGCGGAACCGCTTGTGTTTTTTCAGAGACAATAAGTGTTTCATGGCAATAAACACACTGCCTTCTTCTCTAAGATCGTCGTTTTTCCGACGAAGCTGCGCGTTCTTCGATCACACGAAACACGAACATCCGCTCGAATGATATTTTTCCTGCGCGTCCATGTTTCTAGTTCTGGAGTACATAGTTAGTTTAGGAATTTTATTACGAGACGATACCACTCGTTAAATTATTTAATCTATTTAAATATTCTACGCGTCGATCAACTATATTTATCAACAACATTCTATGCGATATTTCTACTTCGATAAAGAAAAATTAATGCGTTCGGCCAGCTATGGGCAAAACAATTTCGGATTTATTTTTTATAAGGAGAAATTATATTCGTATTAAAAACATGGACAGCAGTTATATGAATTAAGTACAGTAAAAGGGGGAGCCATATTAGAGTGTGCGATACATGAGGAAACAGTGAACATGTTAGGCACTCGTAAAGTAGAGAAATTGGTAGTTGTGAAAACAGACATCTCTTGTACGAACCTTGTCAGAGTTCTGGGAAATAGTATTGTAATATTGTTCGTGTAAGAAGAAGTATTAATTCGATCAACAGTCTCTATGGCTGTTGTCGAAGTAATACTTGATTTTATAAGAAACTTTGTCTCATCAAAATGTGTAGAATTTGTTTCGATCGACGTTCAGGCCCAGCCTTGTAAATTGTACGATGATGGATGCAGAATTTTAGAGCGTGACTCGAGAAAGATCCATAATCGACGACTTTGTAGAAAGTTCGAAAGGGTTTCCAAGAAAAGAGAAGAGAAAAAGGGGGAAAAAAAAAAAGAAAAAAATAATAAGTGATCGTCGAAAACAACAGTGCGTTTATACCGATGAAGAGTATTTTATGCATTATCAGTGTAGTGTTGCTGTACGTTTAAGGTAATATACGGTACGAGAGAGGGATGCGAGAGAGAACGAAGCATGCACGACAGAAAAGAATGAACGAAGTTACAAAGAGCAGTACGATAATATTTTTACACAGCAGACCGTGCCAAATTTTTGCAATCGAATCATCGAGCATCTCGATCTCTTAAACGGGTGTCGGTCGTTTAAGGTATCGAGGCTGAAATCGCCTTTGTTCACCCGAGAATGGAATGTGTGATTCGTGGGAAAAGAAAACGGAGGAAATGTGACCCATCGTTATCGTTGATTTTCTTCATTATCGCATCGAAGAATATCTTCACGCTGCAGTGAAAAGAAAAAACACCGACTCTCGTTCTTGTGTTCACTTTCAGTTCGTGTACAAATAAATTATTGTGTTCCTAATCCACCGTGAATCGATCATCGGAGCTTGTCGCTTGAAAATTTCACTTTTCTAGGGTTATCCAAATTTACCGTTGCATCTAGAAACTGATCCGAGATACTTTATGTTTATTTAGTTGCTTTAATAGAAAGTCCATTTCATTCCATAAATTCTGGAATGGAATATCATTCGAATAATCTCCTCGGTTGTTCTTCGTAAGCTCGTTTTCGAAATTAGGCCGCGTTTATCCTTTGATTTTTTACCCCGATAGAGGGATTGCCCGTTTGGTTGCGTAGTACATAGGTACTTACATCGTTCTGTACTGTTAAAATCCAATATGAGGTAGAAAAAAGTTGGTAATCATACTGCGATAATACTCGCTATTCGGTGAGCTGTTGGTTGAGAATTACTTTCTCAAAGCTAAATTTGCGACTGTTGGATAGGGTCTCTAGGCTTCAGTTTTTGTGTTAATTAAATTTTCTACCGTTGTTGTATATTCGGATACTAATGCAAACTATGACGAGGAACGATCAAATTGTTTACCAGTGCTATCCATTGAAAGATGCGACACGAAATCTGGATAACCCTTTAGTTTGACCAAAGTCTTCTCTAATCGTTGGAGAACATTGGGTTTATATGCAATAATCGTATGCGAGCATTTCCAATCTCGAAACAAAGTTCCAAGCAAACGTTAAAGAAAGACCATTGCGAGATTATGTTGTAAAAATTCATTGATCGGAGGCGATCACTTGCATCACTTCTTTTTAACGTAAGACATATTTCTGTAGTCGATCGAATTCTGTTGTAAATTTTTTATAAACCCAGTGGTCTCTGTTTATTAGAATGTTCTATTCGTAGATTTATTATTGTAACTTTTAAATATTTCGTACGTATATATTTATGTACACAGAAATCATGCGTTTAGCATAGACGTAGATCGTGTTAAGTACCTACGTAGTGGCTCGCGATAAATATCCAACGAGATATTTCTTCTCGAAATCGAGCCATCGAAGCTCGACTCCATCATTCGCGTTCACTTTGTATTCGTAATTATAAACAGTTGAAAAATGCATCAAGAGTGGACGGAGTAGTTCCACTGACATCTCTTGGACGAAATTCAAGCATTTCGGAACTTCTGTCATTATTTAAACCGGGGACCAGAGTTGGGCAAATTTTATTCGCGAATAACGAATAAAAATGTCTTATTCGTTCGTAAATTAACTTCCATTTACATTTAATTCGTAAATTCGTTTCATTAAAACTACCACTTAGGCTATTAGCGAAATCGTGGGTGGAAGCTTAGTTTATGGATGGATTTTAAACATTTTTATTCCGTTATTCGCGAATAAAATTTATCGAACTCTGTCAGAGACTTATACCGATATTTTACTGTGGTCTTTTGTTCGTTTGTCCGGGTAACCCTTACAGAGATAGGGCTACGAAAATTACGTGATATCGGTTTACGAAAATACACATTTGTTTTTCTTTCTTTCTTTCTTTCTTTTAATACTTCTTCCTTCTGTATAATTGTTATAAATTTTGTATAGATCATATTCATAAGCGTATGTATTCGTAATGTTACGTCTGTATCGTGTATACAGTAATTCTTGGATGATCGAAACGAAATTATAATTAATAATTAAAATTTATTCGAATAACTTATTCGAGATGTTAAACGAATAATTTATTCGAAATTTTGTTCGAATAATGCCTAACTCTGCTGTCCATCTTCAACATTCAAGAAAATCGTTAACTCGATGCAACCACTTGTGGTTGTAAATAACAATTGACAGTAGTTGGTTGCCTTACATACAAAGAATTTTAATAGATTATCCGTTGTTTTAAACGAACAGGTATCGATACAGAATGTTTATCGAGAATCCATCAAAACTTTTGCACGCACAAAATATATGAATAGAAATTATATTCGCCGAATATTCGAGTCACTGAATGTGTTCAAATATTTGAATAGAAAAATAATTGAACGAGTATTCCTAGTCCTGGTCGCGTTGAAGTAATGCGATCCTCGCTCGCTATTGCTCCATCACGATCACGATCACGATCACGATCACGATCACGATCACGATCCTCTTCCACTTTCGTCGTCGAGCATGGCGTGTACACAATCACGCTATAAATGTATACTAAAGGGAATCCACGCGAGACAATACCAAGGAAAAATCAAATTTAATTTTTCGTTTTCCTACGTATTCGTGACATTTTTGTCACTTCGTTCTTTAGACGTTTTCTTGTAAAGAACCAAAGATACCGTTTTGTAACAAACTTTGTGTCAATATACAGGGTGTTCAGGCCACCCCTGGGAAAAATTTTAATGGGGGATTCTAGAGGCGACAAATAAGACGAAAATCAAGAATAGCAATTTATTGATGGAGGCCCTCGTTAAAAAGTTATTAGCGTTTAAAGTTCCGTCCATACTGAATTTTTTTCTCGAAAATGCGCAGGATTTCGGGAGTGTGTCTATTCACCAAAAATGATTATAATCGATCCCCGCAACCGAAAATAATTTTTCCAGAACGATTTGAAATTTTTGAATTTCAATTTTAATAACTTTTTAACGAAGCCTCCATCAATAAATTGGTATTCTTGATTTTCGTCTTATTTTGCCCTCTAGAATCCCCCATTGAAATTTTTCCCAGGAGTGGCCGACACATCCTGTATTTTACATTGAGAACTTGCTCGGAAAATAGGCTGTAAATTTTCGGTCCGAAAGGATCAATCTGGATATTGCATAAAGGGTTGGTTTTTTCGATTCGCGGACTACGATATCGGAGAATAGTTTTTTGTTTTTCGAGACGGAAGTGAAAAACGCGTTTCCTAGTCTATAGAAGCATGAGTATTTCTGAGACTGCAGACGAATCCGTGGCGTTTGCCTCGGTGACGGGCAACGGATCGTGGGAAGTCTCACCTGCGACCTCGTCTCCGACGAATCAATATTACACGAGAGTGTACGAATACACTGTGTTTCACGAACAACGCTGGAAGACTTCCATCAGAAGGATACGAATGTTGCCTTGCTCCGCGTCTTTTTAGACCAAACAAACGGATGGAAT